GCCTGCTTTAATCGCTCACACACACACACACACACACACACTCAACCCTTAATGTACAGCCAGAAGAAGCTCTGCCCTTCACACCAACACCAGAGAGAGCTCAGTAAACAGCTGAGAGTGAAAGATCTGCCGTGTGTTTGCTCTCATTACTCTGTTTAGAGATTTGCAATTAGCCTGTTAAACACAAGCGTGTAATCCGCTCAGATTACCCAGAGAGCTTTGTGCTCGGCAGGCGATCACTTTAAAGCATTAAACAGGATTTGGGATGTGTCTGTCTTCACCCTGATGTGGAGAAACGCCTCGGTGTGTTCCTCAAACACAGAGACTGGCGGTCAGCGCGTCGTCATGCACACGTCTGCACTGTCATTCACCTCTTGTTTTTCAGGTAGATTATCTTTCCAACTGTTTTATGTCTTCCACAAAAATGAATATTATTCCATCATTACCTGGCCCTCGTGTCACTTCAAACCCATACGACCGCATGTCTTCATGAGCTGGGGCACAACAGGAGAACGCTGGCGGCTCTTTCCATGCGAACGGAAAACATCTTACGCTCATGAAGCAAATATCTGCCGTTTTCTCATGTACTCACAGGGCTTGAGCTAAAGTCCCCCTGTAGTCAATCATTTTACAACTTAAAACTCATCTTTAATCCCCAATATGACATATTTAAAAATTTTTCCTTGAAAAAAAACGTGTCACCTTTATATTCTTGTAAACGTGTGTCGCGTTGAGTGCCCATGATCTCCACCAGAGGGCGCTCCTTCCTTTATCACATCATGGACTGCATTTCCCATAATCCATTGCCTGGACTCATCATGTTCTGATTACTTCCACCTGTGTGTTATTATCCCGTTTACTCTTGTCTATTGAAGCCCTGTGTTTTCAGTCATTCTTTGCGAAGTCTTGTATGTTGTTACGCTCAGGCTCATTCTACAGGGGTGTTAGAGCATGTTTATACACCCTCAGTTTATACTGTAATAATATATTGGCAAACGCTCCAGTGCATATTTGTGTTCGCGCTCTGGAGAACGTCAAATGCATCTATTTACAACGTGTTTTTGCAGCAATATAGCCAATCAGAGATAGTTGTCGATCTCATGAACCCAATGGCCAATCAGAGGTGTTTAAGTCAGTCAGAGGTTTTATTCAGAGTTATACAGCTCGCGAAACCTCTCGTTAACAAACACAGTGTAGACATGATGTAGAAAGAGATTCACTGTGTGTTGTTGGCAGCTTCGCTTATTATAACGCAACTTTGTGAGATCGCGATGAACTGACAAAGCAACAGTGTTTTAGTGACTGTAGTGGTCTACTAGTAAGTCGTTTAAATCCATTGAATGTTAGTATTGTTTTTCATGCTGCTATGAAGACCGACGACCATGCTACATTGTTTCAGAAGTGACATCTGCGTTTAAATGCTGGATTCACAGAAATATCCTCCTGAGACCCAGAACAGATTTTAGCATTTTTAGAATTATATTTTAGTGAATTTCTCTGACAACATTTTTCACAGTCACAGTTTTAATTATGGATATTCTTATAAAATATTATGAAAATATTCTTAATTATTACTCCCATTATTACACGTCTTTTTTTTATTACATGTTGCCCCAAACACACATTAATATGCAAATTAGATACAGTGCGTATGCATAGAATGGGAAGGGCATTCATTATGATCACGGGGCAGATTACATATAGAGCTCAATACTATATGAGCTCAAAAGACTTTTACAATAGTGGATGATTTGTAAGATAATACTTTATGACATTTGCATCTCATGATCAGCTTCATTTGAGTGGCTTTTCTGATGTAGAAACTTGTCGGCTGGTACAGCACTGCACTTATGATACGATCCCCATACAAGAGCTCAGAGACTCAAAGAAGCAAAGTAAAATGGCATGGTTGCTTGAGCAAATGCTTTTGTTAACACTATCGGTGTGTTTAGGGTTTAGTGTACAGTAGGTGCTATGTTTTTTTGCATACTGGGCATATATATATATAAAAAGCTGCATTTCCCAAAAGCCGCTGTATTGGCCAATAGTCTGCTCAGGCTTGCAGTGCATTTGGGGAGTTCTTACATCGATCGTCACTAACTGGCAAAATGTTCAACGAACAATGAGTAAAGATAGCCTTATATAAATCATTCATTTGAACACCTGATGTCAGAACAGAGCGTGCGTGGATAATGGTTTCTGGGCAATCTCCATATTCCATTGATGCATTAATTATAAGTCTCTCATGAACATTTTGAGATGTAAATTTAGAAGCGGTTAACTCAAGTGCACTGAATGCTGCGTGTCATTTATGAAATGCCATTATGTAAGGTAGTTATGTTCGCTTGACAACGGCAACATACGGATCTACTGTTTAAGCTTCTTCTTCATGTTAGCAAAAGTGTTACAACTTTATTTCAAACTTTCAAATAAGCCAACATCAAAGTTTGTCTTCAAACTCTTCTCATCTAGTTAATCCTATATCTTTGTCTTTTCACAGAGACTTGAGTGAGAACTTCATCCAGGCGATTCCCCGAAAGGCGTTCAGAGGAGCGACGGACATCAAGAACCTGTGAGACTCACGACACGACACAGAACAGCAGATCAGACTCCAGCATGTCCTAAACAGCATTTCCTTCTGTTTTAACAGTCAGTTAGACAAGAATCACATCAGCTGCATCGAGGACGGCGCTTTCCGTGCGTTACGTGGAGTTGAAGTTCTGTGAGTATAAAAACATACACAGTTAAACATGCCGACTGCATCTCATTACCTAAAGACCGGATAGAAACTGAACAGAATCTATGGCAGAAACAAGACCGAGTCTTTACCATCCAGGATTAATCTGTGTGATGTTGTGTGGCAAATGAAAATGTGACGTATGCTTGTACGTTTGCATACACAGTAAAACATACATTATGTCCTGACAGCATGTAAAACATCAGCATTTTACTCACAACTCTATGGGCAAATGTTCATGATTTCTTTTAGGATCATAGACTGATGAATTCATGATGTTAAAAAGGTTAAATCAGTGACATTCACTTGTTGTCATAGTCCCTGATTAGTGTCACACCGGTTCCCTGTTCCTTTGATTTCCTTCCTCGTGTATTTAAGCCTTCAGTCTTCCTCAGTTCTGTCTTGTGTTAACGTTACGTTGTGCATGTGTAGTGTTCTCTTCATGTTCAGCAAAAGTATTACCATTATTCGTTCATCCTGCATCACGCATCATTTTTGAATTGTCAACACAGCCAACTCCTTACAGAATGAGAGACATAAGAAGGTATTGTTTACGGCTGGAGCTGGGGGTTGCTCCCTCGAGGACCACACGAGGAACTTCCTCACCCTGGCATGTCTTATTCACTACCCCGACCGCTCGCTGTGTATATTCTACCACAGAGGCATGCAATATCTCACCGTTCACCTTCTGCCCCGTTGAGGAAGACCTCGCCAGCCCCGCTCCAGCCCCTGAGCCCAGCCAGCAGTCAGCCAGAGGTCAGTCATGCCCACCGCGGGAACGCCAGAACTGCTGACTCTGAGCCCGAGCCGGAGGCTGATTTACTGGAGTCTGTTGAGGTCATCGAGGACATGTTGGAGGAGTTTGAGTCGTCCTGGTTACAGAAGATCTGTTATAGTATGAACAAGTGTTTTCTGTGCTCCCGTCCAATTCTAAGTCGTCCAAGTCATTGCTGTTTAAGCTCAGCTCAAAAGTCTTCGTTGCCCAGCTCCAAGTCTCATTCATTCCAGATGGTCCCGCCTATCCTCCCTCTCCCTCCTCCACTGTCGAAGTTCTTCGGCCTCGTCTTCGCTGTCTCCCTTCAGTCCCTCGGCTCCTCCAGTGGTTCCGCTTTGCTGCATGGATTTTCCAGTCATCAGCTTCGCCGTGGTTTGTGAATCCCTCAGCTCCACCTCAAGCCTCCGAGCCCCGGACTCAAAGCTCCTCCGGCTCCACCATGGACTGCCATCCCTAAGGCTTCGCCGGCTCCCTCATCCCTCCGGCGCCCCCTTGGTCCTCTGTCTCTCCCTTGGTCCTCTGTCTCTCTGGCTCCACCTCAAGCCTCCAAGCCCCGGACTCAAAGCTCCTCCGGCTCCACTATGGACTGCCATCGCTAAGGCTTCGCCGGGCTCCCTCATCCATCTGGGTCCACCTTGGTCCTCTGTCTCTCTGGCTCCACCTCAAGCCTCCAAGCCCCGGACTCAAAGCTCCTCCGGCTCCACTATGGACTGCCATCGCTAAGGCTTCGCCGGGCTCCCTCATCCATCTGGGTCCACCTTGGTCCTCTGTCTCTCTGGCTCCACCTCAAGCCTCCGAGCCCTGAACTCAAAGCTCCTCCGGCTCCACTATGGACTGCCATCGCTAAGGCTTCGCCGGCTCCCTCATCCCTCTGGGTCCACCTTGGTCCTCTGTCTCTCTGGCTCCACCTCAAGCCTCCAAGCCCCAGACTCAACGCTCTTCCGGCTCCACCTTGGTTCTCTGTCTCTCTGGCTCCACCTCAAGCCTGCAAGCCCCGGACTCAAAGCTCCTCCGGCTCCACTATGGACTGCCATTGCTAAGGCTTCGCCAGGCTCCCTCATCCCTCTGGCTCCACCTTGGTCCTCTGTCTCTCTGGCTCCACCTCAAGCCTCCAAGCCCCGGACTCAAAGCTCCTCCGGCTCCACCTTGGTCCTCTGTCTCTCTGGCTCCACCTCAAGCCTCCAAGCCCCGGACTCAAAGCTCCTCCGGCTCCACTATGGACTGCCATCGCTAAGGCTTCGCCGGGCTCCCTCATCCCTCCGGCTCCACCTTGGTCGTCTGTCTCTCTAGGTCCACCTCAAGCCTCCGAGCCCTGGACTCAACGCTCCTCCGGCTCCACTATGGACTGCCATCCCTAAGGCTTCGCCGGCTCCCTCATCCCTCCGGCTCCACCTGGGTCCTCTGTCTCTCTGGCTCCACCTCGTTCTTCAGAGTCAGCTTCTGCGCCTCGACCGTCCACTTCTCGGACTCCTCCGGGCTCCTCCTTCCCTCCGGTTCCACCATGGTCGTCACTCACAAAAATTCAAATTTCGGATATTCGTCGAAAAAAATTTTTGCACATTCAAATGCAAAAAAACTTGCATTTTCTAATTTTTTTATTTAATTGATTTTTACTGAAAAGAAAGAAAATAAAAGGTTACATTTAATGTGTTTGGCCACTTTTGACCGGAGTATGAGTGATTGAGAGCCTAAATGAGGAGCACCAGAGGGTTTAATTGTCTTGATATTTTGCAGAACGCTGAACAACAACAACATCAGCGGCATTCCAGTGTCGAGCTTCAACCACATGCCCAAGCTCAGGACCTTGTGAGTAACACACACATGCACAGCAAACACAAACCATGCATGCACACACACACCCACACACGCACACACACACATGCACGCACGAACACACACACACACACACACACACACACACACAAGTGTCATTCCATGCAGTTTTGGTGGGACGGCTCAGGCCGCACGGCTCTGCCAGAAGCCACAGTCCGTAATTCACACAGACATACAGCAAATTCCCCCAGAAATAAACACCCCACACACTGTTTTTATGAAATGTATATTCTGGTATTTCTGTGGAATTTCTCAACCGGTTTACCACATGGAGTTTCTTTCTCATGATGTTCTGGTTTATTTATTTATTTATTTTATACGGTTACAGATTTATGGTTTGAAACTGACATTACAGGTTTCCATTAATGAATGTCAAGAACATGATTTAAGTTTTAGAGGTTTCAGAGAGTAAAAGCCAGATCCACGTGACTGCAGTCAGTTTGTACGTTCCCTGTTTATTAATTTGAACAGTTTGCAGCAGTAAAACAGGATAGTTTTTGTAGTTCATTCTGAAGCTTGTGTCCCGTCATCTCGCAGCCGACGTTCCTGCTTTACCTAGCAGAAAAAGACCCTACTAATCAGATAATGGAGTTAAAGATAGTGTGTATTGGCCAAATCAAGTCAATCACCTTTATATTCTAAAGCAGCTTCACAGTAATAAACAGGGAATTAATGATCAATAATGTACACTTCAACAAATATGAGACAAATTCTGCTGTTTTTTTAATACTTTCTTTAGTGTGTAATGTTGCTGTTTGAGCATGAAAAAGCTCCAGTTCTTATCAGTGTCAGTGTTTCTGAACTCCTGAAACGCCTCCATTGCAGTCTTGAGTTTCTCCCGGGAACGAACACGTCACAATATTAATCATTATAATAATTCATACGCAGAATAAAGGGGCGGGGCCTGGTTGAGTTAGTCAGTAGTGTGTTAAACTGGCGGTTATGGAAATGGGCGGGACATTTCCCAAACACACTCGAAGCGCTCGACCAATCACAACACACTGCTCCAGCCGACCAATCAGAGCACAGTGTGCTTTCAGAAGGAGGGGCTTCATAGAGACAGGAAGTAAACAGAGCGTTACTGACAGACTGAGAAGAGAGGAGCCGCAACAATGGAGAATATGAGGAGAATAATCAACATTCAAGCAGGAAAACCTGTTCTAGGAGAGCCTGAAACTACATCAAGACTTTGGATATATTAGATCCTCTTTAAACACATTTACAAGACAGATAAAACACCATATCTTGACTATATTAATGCAAGTGAATCTATATAATGAATAATTTAAATAGATTCACAAAAGGCTTTATATAATCTAAAGCTTTTATTATGCATTCAAGTTTGTTTTTAATTCAAACTCCAAAATATAATATTAATATCAGCTCAAAATAATCCAGTTCTCAGGCTTGTAAATGGAGCCGTCTCTGGCTGGATACAGATGTGTTCAAGCCGTCAGGAGGACTCGCTGCCGGCTCCCTCCAGATAAAGCTGTAATGACTTCTGCATGTTTCCTCCTTCAGCCGTTTACATTCCAACAACCTGAACTGTGACTGCAATCTTGCCTGGTTGTCGCAGTGGTTGCGTGAGCGTCCGACCATCGGCCTGTTCACCCAGTGCAGTTCTCCCGCTCCGCTACGAGGGATTAACGTAGCCGAGATCCAGAAACACGAGTTCAGCTGTTCAGGTAAGACCAATCAGTGACCGATCTGCCTTCCATTCCCTATTGTATTCCACTGATCTGAATGAATATATTACCAAAATAACTTACTAGAGCCGAGTTGGTAACACTGGACAATAAAGGCCCTGATATACTCACGGCAAAGTTTTTTCATTCTTCATGTAGGAGTAAAAAGAAATAAACATGAACTGTGATATAGCAAACATCCCGACATCGCACACGCAGCTGAGAGCGACGTTTGATGTGTAAATACGAGCTGCTCTTTCCTCTCAATAACAGAATAAAGAGATTCAGATCTACAGTCGCGTCACGTTTATTCATACAGCACTTTATACAATAGATAGATTTAAAGCAGCAGCTTTACAGTATTAAACATGACAAACAGTGTCAGAGTCTCTTTCAGTTAGAATCACAGCTTCAGTTTCTGCTATAAAGCGGCTCCAGTGTGTTCGTGTTTTTACTCGCGTCTGAACAGAAGAAATGGAGATTTACAGCTCGAAGAAGGCGGAGCTTCAGAGCCACACCCACCTATTACATCATCACCACACTGACCAATGGGAGTCTGAAGGTGTTTAACCAGCCGGAGTGAACTTTTCTAGAAAGATCAGCTTTTAGCCTGGGAAAACCCAGACAACTTCCGGCAAATTTAGATTTGCTCTGAAAGTTAGTCTGGCAAAGAGCTCATTCAAACTCATTTCCAATCCGCCGAAATTGAGGCACCGATCAGAAGCGTTGGGGCGGGCTTTACACGATGACGATAGCGCTGGGATTTTGAAGCAGATTTTGTGGCCTACATTACAAAGATGGATGCCGCCGTCGAACATCACTCGTTCCAATCAGCTATCGCGTCTGTTTTAAGCCATTTGAACGTTTCCTTTTTGTTAAAAACCGAGCAAAAAACAACACTCGGAGATGTGTCTCCGCCGCTCTGCATACGTCATCTCCTTCATCGCTCTGATTGGGTTTAGGTCTATCCGCCACGTCCGTTGGTGACGCCCCTCTGGAAATGATTTGTCTATGACGCTTTGCCAGACCATAACTCAGTTACAACTGAGAATGGTCTGGTTTTAACCAGGCTAATCAGCTTTAACAAGCAGCTTCAACTCCAGAAACGAACTTCGGTTTGGCCTGATTCGCATCAGTTCGCTCTTCAGTTTCACTCTGAAGTATATCGGGGCCTTAAGGTCCAATTATTTAGAATTGGTTAATGCATTAGTTATCATTAAATGCATTTTTTACAGTATGTATTGATATTTGTCAATAAAAATACAACAGTTCATGTTAGCTGAGGTCCAATAACTAACGCAGTCCCACTTATATTAGGTGTCTTTAAATACTACAGTATGTACTAACATTTAAATGAATCTTTGGATACAATGCACTTATTGTGTACATACATTGTTTTTATGTTGTACTTACATTTAAAAAATACCTGCCTGTCATTACAGCTGTAATTCATTTCTGTACTTAACATCTATAAATACCCTGTTGACCTCTTAACCCACCCTTAACACGACTCATCCCACCAAACCTGTCCTAACCGTGCCCGTATCAGCAGCATACGCTCACTCTTTATCTGGTAACACTTTATTTTACAGTGTCACTGTTACATATGTTACATGTAGTTACTATAGTAATAACTATAAATCATGCATAATTACATGCAACTAACCCTGAACCAAACCCTAATCCTAACCCTATAGTAAGAACATTTAGATACTTAATATTACTCAGTACTTAAATGTACAATTACAGTGTAACAAAGACACCTTAAAATAAAGTGTAACTCTTTTATTTTATGACATTGTTACAGTGTAATTTCACAAATTAGTACTGAGGAATAGTAATTAACTACATGTACGTTCTATAGGGTGTTAAGGTTAGGGTTTGGTTTAGGGTTAATTGCTTATAATTATGTATAAATAATTACTACTACTACAGTAAGTACATGTAATGTGTAACTGTCACCTTGAAATACCATGTTTTGCAACATGAACAATAAGTACATTGTACCTAAGAATTATTTTTATGTCAGTACATAGTAGTTAAGGACACGTAATATATGACCAATGAGGTCAACAGATACAACTTTGTATTTCAATAATGTTTTAGTGAATGTTGAATTGAACAAACTAAGATAAATAAATGCTTTAGAAGTTGTTTGTTAGTTCTTTCATTGTTCGAATACTGGGACCTAATTGTATAGTGCTGTTCCTGACTGCTATCTGCACAGTTCGTTTCCATTACTCACAACCTGTTGTCGTTGGTTTGGCCTGTCCTCAGGTCAGTCTGAGAGCGCGGTGGGCCAGTCGTGTAGTTTGGCCACGGGCTCGTGTCCGGCCGTCTGCACCTGCAGTAATAACATCGTGGACTGCAGAGGGAAAGGACTGACGGCGATCCCGGGTAACCTGCCCGACAGCATGGCGGAGATGTAAGTTCCTGAAGCGCAAACAGACGCCAAGGTTAAGGGTTCAATTCCCAGGGAATCCATAAACTGTGAAAACACACTCGCTTTGGATAAAAGCGTCTGCCAAATGCACAAGTATAAATGTAGGTTTGTCTTACATTTACACATTCTTAAAGCAAGATACATTTACTTGAGAGGCAAAATTACTCAAGATTATAATCTTGTTTTCTGAAAAATGTATCAAAATGAAGTGAGTTCATGCTTAAAACTGGAACAAATATCTGCCAATGGGCCAATTTTAGAATGTTTAGATATTCATACTGGTAACACTTCACAATACACTGGAAAATGAGACAGAAACGCTGAGAAAGAACATGATTTTTGCAGTGCAGCGTTGCAATCTCTGGATTCTAGTCACATGACCTACGACAGATGTATTTGGACAGAGACTGAACAGACCACAGGAATGTGCTGTCTGGAATCACTGCAATCCAAAGAATGTAAATTGTGTTTCTATATTTCCTGCGTTTGAAGAGAAGGGAAATTCTGCTAGTGTTTAAGTCGAGCTGTTATTGCCTCTGGCTCTGAAGGCTCCAAATGACCCTGACAAATGACTTTCCTGTTTTAAATGAGGCTGTTTAGACTGAAAGCAACTGCTTTCTTCACAGAACTGTGGACCGAAGCCGCAGGGTGTGCCATTAAAACAGACCCTTAAAAACAAAACCAGCCGCCACAGACACTAATGACATCCAAAACCAGACGAACAGACGAACGCGTCCCACCTTTATCAGCACTGCTGATGTTCTCGAAGTTTCTGCCATGAACAGATCGTTACAGCCAGGCCACAGAAATCATACACACATGAGACATTTATTTTTGGAAGGATTACTGTATGCAGTATTTACCTGTTTATACACTAAAATTACCAATTTAATTTAAACACAGCAAATACTTTAATCAGTTTGTGAATGTACTCTCCTTAAAGCAACTTGCAAATTGACAGAATCCACCTTATGTTTAACATAAGAGCAGGTGTGGCTATTTGATCCAGTGTCATTCGCTTAGATGTACAAAACAGTTTGTTATGTTGCTTGATATTGCAAACTGGTATTTTTACCATATTATTGTAATGTATTGTCTTAATTATAAACACATTGGTTTGTTGTGCAAACACTTTTACCATTTACTGCACTTTATTATTCATCTAGTTATTTCCCTTTAATATCTCACACATTCACAGATAAACAGCTTACATTTGTGTTGCGAAATAAGATGGGCATGTTAAGGCAGAAACATGCGCCTTGTTGCTACGAGACCCAGACCCACCCAGCACTGACCCAGAGCCAAGCCTGCCCAGTCTGACCAGTGCTGGGGGAGTTGCACATGAACTCTGAACTCTGTACCTCCTTATGTGAACTCCTTGATTCCCTCCTACATTTGAGCCCTGTCTCCACCGTTGGTCCCGTTCAGTCCCAAGTCATCTTCGCTGCCATTGGTTCTGCCCAGTTCCAAGTCGTTTAAGTTATCGCTGGTCAAGCCCAGCCCCAGGTCTCCTTCTTCACGAATGATCCCACTCAGCCTCCCTCTCCCTCCTCCGCTGCCAAAGACAGCCCTGCTCGGATTCACCTTGGGCTACGCAGTCGTCAGCTCCGCTTGGTGTGTGGATCCCTCAGCTACACCTCTAGCCTCTGTATAGCCTATAGCTGGTGTGTGGTGAGCGCACTGTTGCTGCACACTGGTGGTGGATTGAGAAGAGATCTTGTGAGATGATTGTTAAGCGCTTTGGGTGTACAGTAGTCCATATGAAAGCGCTATATAAATGCCTCATTCATTCATTCATTCAACCCCGGACTCCACCTTGGCTCAATCCTCCCTCAGCTCCACCTAGTCCGTCATCCCCCAGGCTCCCTCGTCCCTCTGGCTTCACCTTGGCCTTCCAACCCATCGGCTCCACCTTGGCCTTCCAACCCATCGGCTGCACCTTGGCTCAATCCTCCCTCAGCTCCACCTAGTCCGTCATCCCCCAGGCTCCCTCGTCCCTCTGGCTTCACCTTGGCCTTCCAACCCATCGGCTCCACCTTGGCCTTCCAACCCATCGGCTCCACCTTGGCCTTCCAACCCATCGGCTCCACCTTGGCTCAATGCGCCCTCAGCTCCACCTAGTCCGTCATCCCCCAGGCTCCCTCGTCCCTCCGGCTTCACCTTGGTCAGTCATCATCCTGGTTGTGCCATGGATATCCAGTCCTCGGGCTACACCTCTTCCCTCCACCCCTTCGGCACCACTGGGCTCTTCTTTCCCTCTGGCTCCACCATTGTCCTTACTCCCACTGGCTCAACCCTGGTCTGCTGTCTTCGGCCCTCCAGTCCGTCAGTGTCACTCCAGACAGTCGGCTCCTCTGCTCCGCCTAGGTCTCCTCCTCTGACAGCTCCACCTCAGTCGGACAGGCTGCTGACTCCACCTTCCCTCCATCAGTTCCCCCCGTGGGCCTTCATCTTGGCGCTGCTCTGGATCGCACTATGCCACGCACTCCTTCGTCTCCTCCCTGGCTCTTCCCTCCCTCCACTCCCTCCCTTGGGCTGTTCTGTCAGCCGGGAGCCCCCGTACAGGAGGGGGGAGTAACCTCTAGCCTCCAAACCCTGGACTCCACCTCGGACCTCCAACCATTTGGCTCCACCTTAGTTCATCATAATCTCAGGCTCCGCCAGGCTCCCTCGTCCCTCCGGCTTCACCTTGGTCAGTCATCACCCTGGTTACTCCATGGACTTCCGGTCCTCTTGCTACACCTCTTCCCTCCACCCCTTCGGCACCACTGGGCTCTTTCCCTCTGGCTCCCCCATTGTTCTTACTCTCAATGGATCCATACCAAGTCACCTTTATTTATATAGAACTTTTTACAATACAGATTATTTCAAAGCAGCTTTCCAGTGATAACACGAAAATAATGCAACAAAGTTTGTTTCTTGAAGAAAATAGCGTCATAGTCCATCTTAAGTAAGTTCAGGGATGGTTAATTTTTTGTTGTAAAAAAGTTATTAATTTAGTTCCTTTATATATATAGCCGCTCTGGAGAAACCCGTGATATCATCGTCCAGTTCAGTTCTCATATTATGGTGTCAATGCAGGCAGATCAAAATTATTGTTGAATATTCAGTGTCTCCGTACAGGAGAAGGGAGGAATGTCACGGTCTGATTTTCCCATCATCCTCCCTGGCACTTATGCACACACACCTAGCCCTCATGACCAGCAGTATATAGAGCACACACACTCCCTCAGTCATTGTCTGAACTCGTCTGATGCTACAGATTACTACGTGCCTGCCAAATCCCGCTTTAAAGTGAGTGTGTCAAATACGAGTACAGCTAAAAGGTCTCATTTACCAACAAACATCACTGGGAAAGACAATATCTGAATGATATGTTTGCAGAAGTTGATGGATTAGTTACGTCCTGATGTTATGATGCATTGTTGGCATTTAAGTGGCTAGAAAGTCATTTGCGCTGTATGATGTCCAATAAAATGCTAATAAACCAAATACAGAATCCAGAGAGAATATTGATGGCAGAGACTACAGTATTAGTGAAGACTAAACTCAAGACTGACTGCATGATTGCGGGTGAGATGGAGTGGGAGAGTGTGTATTAGAGATGCAATGAAATGTAAACGTTGCAATAACGCTTGCGTGTTTCTCTATTTCTCTTTTTGCAGACGACTGGAACAGAACGGCATCAAGTCCATCCCTCCTGGAGCCTTCTCTCCTTATAAGAAACTGCGCCGAATGTGAGTTTGTAACACAGCTGAGAAAACTCAGCACTGCCGTCATGTGTGCAACAAACATTAGGCTTGCCGTAGATCCCTCACCGTGCTTTAGGTGGCCTTTTTCGTCCAGTTCAATCTCTCATATTCAATTCAAGTTTATTTGTATAGCGCTTTTCACAATACATATTGTTTCAAAGCAGCTTTACAGTATGAACAGGCAGTAAATAAGATGAGTGTGTCAGTATGGCAGTGATATTCAGCTGTAATATAGTATGCTCTGTGGTTAGTTAACGTCATGTATTCAGTTAAAGTCGTCATGAAAGGGAAGTTGTGTTGGTCTTTTCTTCCCCATTGTGCCGTATATCTGAGCGAAACAATGTGGGCGGGGCTTGATTGTGTCTGTGGGGAATTGATTGGATGATTGGATGGTTGTGGTTTGCTATTGGCTGATCTCATGTGAGTGACAGTTGCCCCGCCCACATCATCAGAGAAGAGGAGAGATGCTGCAAGATTACAGGAACATGAATATAACACAATAATGATGTGCACGGATTCAATAGTAGACTACAATATATCAAGATTTTTGATTTTACGATAACTTTAAGTTGGTCGATTGGTGTTTTAACTCCATGGCTATTTTCACGGTGAGTAACAAGTTAAAAAAAAAAAGCAATTAAAAAACCTATAATAAGTTTAGATTAAAAACTCTTAATGGATTCAGTATTGATAGTGTTGCTGAGCCATATAACTTCCTAGGAGAACATAAACCAGAACAATTTAAATAAAACGTTTATGAGATTCTGGACTCTGGCATGAGGATAATATCAGTGGATATTCATTTGATATTAAGAACTTGTTTATTCTGAAACGTCCTGTTCTGTTCGGCATCATGTAGGCTATATATATATTTTACACAGTATGTTTGTATTGAGTTAAACAAAAACTTGATCTGAATAATGACACTTTTGTAGAGCTGCTTTTTTTTTAACTGAATATAAATTTGTCTCATATTTGATCAAGTTTGGGTCGATTGTGTTATTTCCCAGTGTATTACTGTGAAGCTGCTTTGAAACAGTGTGTGTTGTATGAGTAGACGTGCGCTGAGCTGTTGGAGCCGCCGTGTGCTCCTGTAAGCCGGCGCTCTGCAGATTCACTGGTGTCAGGAGCGCTCTCTCTCTCTCTCTCTCTCTCTGGCTGAGCTGGCGTGTGGTTCGATGGTTAGACCACAGGCTTATTAAAGTCTTCTCCGTGGCCTGTAATGCTGGCGTTCACTAATGCTCCTCACCGCAGCCGCTGGAGGCTCAGACCTGCTGGTGTACACACCGACTGAGCCAGAACCGCAGACCCAGCGGGACACTGGCAGACGCTCCACATCTGACCCGTGTGTTCCTCATCTGACCCGTGTGTTCCTCATCTGACCCGTGTGTTCCTCATCTGACCCGTGTGTTCCTCATCTGACCCGTGTGTTCCTCATCTGACCCGTGTGTTCCTCATCTGACCCTTGTGTTCCTCATCTGACCCTTGTGTTCCTCATCTGACCCGTGTGTTCCTCATCTGACCCGTGTGTTCCTCATCTGACCCGTGTGTTCCACATCTGACCCGTGTGTTCCTCATCTGACCCTTGTGTTCCTCCTCTGACCCTTGTGTTCCTCATCTGACCCTTGTGTTCCTCATCTGACCCGTGTGTTCCTCATCTGACCCGTGTGTTCCACATCTGACCCGTGTGTTCCACATCTGACCCGTGTGTTCCTCATCTGACCCGTGTGTTCCTCATCTGACCCTTGTGTTCCTCATCTGACCCGTGTGTTCCTCATCTGACCCGTGTGTTCCTCATCTGACCCTTGTGTTCCTCATCTGACCCTTGTGTTCCTCATCTGACCCGTGTGTTCCACATCTGACCCTTGTGTTCCTCATCTGACCCTTGTGTTCCTCCTCTGACCCGTGTGTTCCACATCTGACCCGTGTGTTCCTCATCTGACCCGTGTGTTCCTCATCTGACCCGTGTGTTCCACATCTGACCCTTGTGTTCCTCATCTGACCCTTGTGTTCCTCATCTGACCCGTGTGTTCCACATCTGACCCGTGTGTTCCTCATCTGACCCGTGTGTTCCTCATCTGACCCGTGTGTTCCTCATCTGACCCTTGTGTTCCTCATCTGACCCTTGTGTTCCTCATCTGACCTGTGTGTTCCTCATCTGACCCTTGTGTTCCTCATCTGACCCTTGTGTTCCTCATCTGACCCGTGTGTTCCTCATCTGACCCGTGTGTTCCTCATCTGACCCTTGTGTTCCTCATCTGACCCTTGTGTTCCTCATCTGACCCGTGTGTTCCACATCTGACCCGTGTGTTCCTCATCTGACCCTTGTGTTCCTCATCTGACCCTTGTGTTCCTCATCTGACCTGTGTGTTCCTTATCTGACCCTTGTGTTCCTCATCTGACCCTTGTGTTCCTCATCTGACCCGTGTGTTCCTCATCTGACCCGTGTGTTCCTCATCTGACCCTTGTGTTCCTCATCTGACCCTTGTGTTCCTCATCTGACCCGTGTGTTCCACATCTGACCCGTGTGTTCCTCATCTGACCCGTGTGTTCCACATCTGACCCTTGTGTTCCTCATCTGACCCGTGTGTTCCTCCTCTGACCCGTGTGTTCCTCACCTGACCCGTGTGTTCCTCATCTGACCCGTGTGTTCCTCCTCTGACCCGTGTTTCTCCTCTGACCCGTGTGTTCCTCCTCTGACCCTTGTGTTCCTCATCTGACCCGTGTGTTCCACATCTGACCCGTGTGTTCCTCATCTGACCCGTGTGTTCCTCATCTGACCCGTGTGTTCCTCATCTGACCCGTGTGTTCCTCCTCTGACCCGTGTGTTCCTCAGCTGACCCGTGTGTTCCTCATCTGACCCGTGTGTTCCTCCTCTGACCCGTGTGTTCCTCATCTGACCCGTGTGTTCCTCATCTGACCCGTGTGTCCACATCTGACCCGTGTGTTCCTCCTCTGACCCGTGTGTTCCTCATCTGACCCGTGTGTTCCTCATCTGACCCGTGTGTTCCTCATCTGACCCTTGTGTTCCTCATCTGACCCTTGTGTTCCTCATCTGACCCGTGTGTTCCACATCTGACCCGTGTGTTCCTCATCTGACCCGTGTGTTCCTCATCTGACCCGTGTGTTCCTCCTCTGACCCGTGTGTTCCTCCTCTGACCCGTGTGTTCCTCATCTGACCCGTGTGTTCCTCATCTGACCCGTGTGTCCACATCTGACCCGTGTGTTCCTCATCTGACCCGTGTGTTCCTCATCTGACCCGTGTGTCCACATCTGACCCGTGTGTTCCTCATCTGACCCGTGTGTTCCTCATCTGACCCGTGTGTCCACATCTGACCCGTGTGTTCCTCATCTGACCCGTGTGTTCCTCATCTGACCCGTGTGTTCCTCATCTGACCCGTGTGTCCACATCTGACCCGTGTGTTCCTCATCTGACCCTTGTGTTCCTCATCTGACCCGTGTGTTCCTCATCTGACCCGTGTGTTCCTCATCTGACCCGTGTGTTCCTCATCTGACCCGTGTGTTCCTCATCTGACCCGTGTGTTCCTCATCTGACCCGTGTGTCCACATCTGACCCGTGTGTTCCTCATCTGACCCGTGTGTTCCTCATCTGACCCGTGTGTTCCTCATCTGACCCGTGTGTCCACATCTGACCCGTGTGTTCCTCATCTGACCCGTGTGTTCCTCATCTGACCCGTGTGTTCCTCATCTGACCCGTGTGTTCCTCATCTGACCCGTGTGTTCCTCATCTGACCCGTGTGTTCCTCATCTGACCCGTGTGTTCCACATCTGACCCGTGTGTTCCTCATCTGACCCGTGTGTTCCTCATCTGACCCGTGTGTTCCTCATCTGACCCGTGTGTCCACATCTGACCCGTGTGTTCCTCATCTGACCCGTGTGTTCCTCATCTGACCCGTGTGTTCCTCCTCTGACCCGTGTGTTCCTCATCTGACCCGTGTGTTCCTCATCTGACCCGTGTGTCCACATCTGACCCGTGTGTTCCTCATCTGACCCGTGTGTTCCTCATCTGACCCGTGTGTTCCTCATCTGACCCGTGTGTCCACATCTGACCCGTGTGTTCCTCATCTGACCCTTGTGTTCCTCCTCTGACCCGTGTGTTCCTCATCTGACCCGTGTGTTCCTCATCTGACCCGTGTGTCCACATCTGACCCGTGTGTTCCTCATCTGACCCGTGTGTTCCTCATCTGACCCGTGTGTTCCTCATCTGACCCGTGTGTCCACATCTGACCCGTGTGTTCCTCATCTGACCCTTGTGTTCCTCATCTGACCCGTGTGTTCCTCATCTGACCCGTGTGTTCCTCATCTGACCCTTGTGTTCCTCATCTGACCCTTGTGTTCCTCATCTGACCCGTGTGTTCCTCATCTGACCCGTGTGTTCCTCATCTGACCCTTGTGTTCCTCATCTGACCCGTGTGTTCCTCATCTGACCCGTGTGTTCCTCATCTGACCCGTGTGTTCCTCATCTGACCCGTGTGTTCCTCATCTGACCCGTGTGTTCCTCATCTGACCCGTGTGTTCCTCATCTGACCCGTGTGTTCCTCCTCTGACCCGTGTGTTCCTCATCTGACCCGTGTGTTCCTCATCTGACCCGTGTGTCCACATCTGACCCGTGTGTTCCTCATCTGACCCGTGTGTTCCTCATCTGACCCGTGTGTTCCTCATCTGACCCGTGTGTCCACATCTGACCCGTGTGTTCCTCATCTGACCCTTGTGTTCCTCATCTGACCCTTGTGTTCCTCATCTGACCCGTGTGTTCCACATCTGACCCGTGTGTTCCTCATCTGACCCGTGTGTTCCTCATCTGACCCGTGTGTTCCTCCTCTGACCCGTGTGTTCCTCATCTGACCCGTGTGTTCCTCATCTGACCCGTGTGTCCACATCTGACCCGTGTGTTCCTCATCTGACCCGTGTGTTCCTCATCTGACCCGTGTGTCCACATCTGACCCGTGTGTTCCTCATCTGACCCGTGTGTTCCTCATCTGACCCGTGTGTCCACATCTGACCCGTGTGTTCCTCATCTGACCCGTGTGTTCCTCATCTGACCCGTGTGTTCCTCATCTGACCCGTGTGTCCACATCTGACCCGTGTGTTCCTCATCTGACCCTTGTGTTCCTCATCTGACCCGTGTGTTCCTCATCTGACCCGTGTGTTCCTCATCTGACCCGTGTGTTCCTCATCTGACCCGTGTGTTCCTCATCTGACCCGTGTGTTCCTCATCTGACCCGTGTGTCCACATCTGACCCGTGTGTTCCTCATCTGACCCGTGTGTTCCTCATCTGACCCGTGTGTTCCTCATCTGACCTGTGTGTCCACATCTGACCCGTGTGTTCCTCATCTGACCCGTGTGTTCCTCATCTGACCCGTGTGTTCCTCATCTGACCCGTGTGTTCCTCATCTGACCCGTGTGTTCCTCATCTGACCCGTGTGTTCCACATCTGACCTGTGTGTTCCTCATCTGACCCGTGTGTTCCTCATCTGACCCGTGTGTCCACATCTGACCCGTGTGTTCCTCATCTGACCCGTGTGTTCCTCATCTGACCCGTGTGTTCCTCCTCTGACCCGTGTGTTCCTCATCTGACCCGTGTGTTCCTCATCTGACCCGTGTGTCCACATCTGACCCGTGTGTTCCTCATCTGACCCGTGTGTTCCTCATCTGACCCGTGTGTTCCTCATCTGACCCGTGTGTCCACATCTGACCCGTGTGTTCCTCATCTGACCCTTGTGTTCCTCCTCTGACCCGTGTGTTCCTCATCTGACCCGTGTGTTCCTCATCTGACCCGTGTGTCCACATCTGACCCGTGTGTTCCTCATCTGACCCGTGTGTTCCTCATCTGACCCGTGTGTTCCTCATCTGACCCGTGTGTCCACATCTGACCCGTGTGTTCCTCATCTGACCCTTGTGTTCCTCATCTGACCCTTGTGTTCCTCATCTGACCCGTGTGTTCCTCATCTGACCCTTGTGTTCCTCATCTGACCCGTGTGTTCCTCATCTGACCCGTGTGTTCCTCATCTGACCCGTGTGTTCCACATCTGACCTGTGTGTTCCTCATCTGACCCGTGTGTTCCTCCTCTGACCCGTGTGTTCCTCATCTGACCCGTGTGTTCCTCATCTGACCCGTGTGTCCACATCTGACCCGTGTGTTCCTCATCTGACCCGTGTGTTCCTCATCTGACCCGTGTGTTCCTCATCTGACCCGTGTGTCCACATCTGACCCGTGTGTTCCTCATCTGACCCTTGTGTTCCTCCTCTGACCCGTGTGTTCCTCATCTGACCCGTGTGTTCCTCATCTGACCCGTGTGTCCACATCTGACCCGTGTGTTCCTCATCTGACCCGTGTGTTCCTCATCTGACCCGTGTGTTCCTCATCTGACCCGTGTGTCCACATCTGACCCGTGTGTTCCTCATCTGACCCTTGTGTTCCTCATCTGACCCTTGTGTTCCTCATCTGACCCGTGTGTTCCTCATCTGACCCGTGTGTTCCTCATCTGACCCGTGTGTTCCTCATCTGACCCGTGTGTTCCTCATCTGACCCGTGTGTTCCTCATCTGACCCGTGTGTTCCACATCTGACCTGTGTGTTCCTCATCTGACCCGTGTGTTCCTCATCTGACCCGTGTGTCCACATCTGACCCTTGTGTTCCTCATCTGAGCCGTGTGTTCCTCATCTGACCCGTGTGTTCCTCATCTGACCCGTGTGTTCCTCATCTGACCCGTGTTTTCCACATCTGACCTGTGTTTTCCTCATCTGACCCGTGTGTTCCTCATCTGACCCGTGTGTTCCTCATCTGACCCGTGTGTTCCTCATCTGACCCGTGTGTTCCTCATCTGACCCGTGTGTTCCTCATCTGACCCGTGTGTTCCTCATCTGACCCGTGTGTTCCTCATCTGACCTGTGTGTTCCTCATCTGACCCTTGTGTTCCTCATCTGACCCTTGTGTTCCTCATCTGACCCGTGTGTTCCTCATCTGACCCGTGTGTTCCTCATCTGACCCTTGTGTTCCTCATCTGACCCGTGTGTTCCTCATCTGACCCGTGTGTTCCTCATCTGACCCGTGTGTTCCTCATCTGACCCGTGTGTTCCACATCTGACCTGTGTGTTCCTCATCTGACCCGTGTGTTCCTCATCTGACCCGTGTGTCCACATCTGACCCGTGTGTTCCTCATCTGACCCGTGTGTTCCTCATCTGACCCGTGTGTTCCTCCTCTGACCCGTGTGTTCCTCATCTGACCCGTGTGTTCCTCATCTGACCCGTGTGTCCACATCTGACCCGTGTGTTCCTCATCTGACCCGTGTGTTCCTCATCTGACCCGTGTGTTCCTCATCTGACCCGTGTGTCCACATCTGACCCGTGTGTTCCTCATCTGACCCTTGTGTTCCTCCTCTGACCCGTGTGTTCCTCATCTGACCCGTGTGTTCCTCATCTGACCTGTGTGTCCACATCTGACCCGTGTGTTCCTCATCTGACCCGTGTGTTCCTCATCTGACCCGTGTGTTCCTCATCTGACCCGTGTGTCCACATCTGACCCGTGTGTTCCTCATCTGACCCTTGTGTTCCTCATCTGACCCTTGTGTTCCTCATCTGACCCGTGTGTTCCTCATCTGACCCGTGTGTTCCTCATCTGACCCGTGTGTTCCTCATCTGACCCGTGTGTTCCTCATCTGACCCGTGTGTTCCTCATCTGACCCGTGTGTTCCACATCTGACCCGTGTGTTCCTCATCTGACCCGTGTGTTCCTCATCTGACCCGTGTGTCCACATCTGACCCTTGTGTTCCTCATCTGACCCGTGTGTTCCTCATCTGACCCGTGTGTTCCTCATCTGACCCGTGTGTTCCACATCTGACCCGTGTGTTCCTCATCTGACCCGTGTGTTCCTCATCTGACCCGTGTGTTCCTCATCTGACCCGTGTGTTCCTCATCTGACCCTTGTGTTCCTCATCTGACCCTTGTGTTCCTCATCTGACCCGTGTGTTCCTCATCTGACCCGTGTGTTCCTCATCTGACCCTTGTGTTCCTCATCTGACCCGTGTGTTCCTCATCTGACCCGTGTGTTCCTCATCTGACCCGTGTGTTCCTCATCTGACCCGTGTGTTCCACATCTGACCTGTGTGTTCCTCATCTGACCCGTGTGTTCCTCATCTGACCCGTGTGTCCACATCTGACCCGTGTGTTCCTCATCTGACCCGTGTGTTCCTCATCTGACCCGTGTGTTCCTCCTCTGACCCGTGTGTTCCTCATCTGACCCGTGTGTTCCTCATCTGACCCGTGTGTCCACATCTGACCCGTGTGTTCCTCATCTGACCCGTGTGTTCCTCATCTGACCCGTGTGTTCCTCATCTGACCCGTGTGTCCACATCTGACCCGTGTGTTCCTCATCTGACCCTTGTGTTCCTCCTCTGACCCGTGTGTTCCTCATCTGACCCGTGTGTTCCTCATCTGACCCGTGTGTCCACATCTGACCCGTGTGTTCCTCATCTGACCCGTGTGTTCCTCATCTGACCCGTGTGTTCCTCATCTGACCCGTGTGTCCACATCTGACCCGTGTGTTCCTCATCTGACCCTTGTGTTCCTCATCTGACCCTTGTGTTCCTCATCTGACCCGTGTGTTCCTCATCTGACCCGTGTGTTCCTCATCTGACCCGTGTGTTCCTCATCTGACCCGTGTGTTCCTCATCTGACCCGTGTGTTCCTCATCTGACCCGTGTGTTCCACATCTGACCTGTGTGTTCCTCATCTGACCCGTGTGTTCCTCATCTGACCCGTGTGTCCACATCTGACCCTTGTGTTCCTCATCTGACCCGTGTGTTCCTCATCTGACCCGTGTGTTCCTCATCTGACCCGTGTGTTCCACATCTGACCCGTGTGTTCCTCATCTGACCCGTGTGTTCCTCATCTGACCCGTGTTTTCCACATCTGACCTGTGTTTTCCTCATCTGACCCGTGTGTTCCTCATCTGACCCGTGTGTTCCTCATCTGACCCGTGTGTTCCTCATCTGACCCGTGTGTTCCTCATCTGACCCGTGTGTTCCTCATCTGACCCGTGTGTTCCTCATCTGACCCGTGTGTTCCTCATCTGACCTGTGTGTTCCTCATCTGACCCTTGTGTTCCTCATCTGACCCTTGTGTTCCTCATCTGACCCGTGTGTTCCTCATCTGACCCGTGTGTTCCTCATCTGACCCTTGTGTTCCTCATCTGACCCGTGTGTTCCTCATCTGACCCGTGTGTTCCTCATCTGACCCGTGTGTTCCTCATCTGACCCGTGTGTTCCTCATCTGACCCGTGTGTTCCTCATCTGACCCGTGTGTTCCTCATCTGACCCCAGACTCTTTCTGTCTCTCTCCGCAGAGATCTCAGCAACAACCAGATCTCCGAGATCGCTCCCAACGCCTTCCTGGGCCTGCGCTCGCTGAACTCACTGTGAGTGTGTGTGTGAGAGAGAGAGAGTGTGTGTGTGTGTGTGTGTGTGTGTGTGTGTGTGTGTGTGTGTGTGTGTGTGTGTGTGTGTGTGTGCTGTACATCACAACGAGTGCTGTGATAGGTGGTTTGTGGCTTATCTCATGCATATTAATTAGCCCATGCTGACTCTCTGGGTGTAAACTCATTAATATTCATGAGACAACCCTTCACCTCATCTAAACTTACTGTACATCACCCAGATGCTTTATTCCTGAATTCTCTAATTCACTTTTGATTCTATTCCATCAGGTTTTGTAAGTTAAAGAACTGGCTGTATTTTGTTCTTCTTAAATTCAGAATAAAAAGCACATTCACCTGATCTGGGGCCGGTTGCAAAAGACTAATCTTACAAGTTAGTCATCACATGTTATTTAAACACCTTTTTTAGCCGGTTACATAAAAACGAAGACTGGTCTATTGTAATACTAAAAAGTAAGACTGATTACTGCCCCTTGACTAACCGCTAGTTGGTCATACTAGTATTAATACAGACAGTCTTAACAGAACGGCTATGTTTATGCAACTGGCCCCTTTTTACTAAATGTTAATTGATGATCTTATTGTGAACGATTCATGTTCCACTTTTATTTTATTTATTTTTAAATCGTAATGTTTAATCAAAATGTCATGACCAGTGAAGCGTCAGTCTTCTCTCTGGTGGCGTATGCAGATTCTCTTTAAACTCCGCCCCTGCAAGCTCACGCTCATCTGCATACACTTGAGGGACACGCCTACATCTCAACATCCAATCAACAACCTGGAACCAAGTCCCGCCCAACATTTGTCTTATTCGATAATCCATTACACTCGGATGTATGTTAACAATATGAAAGAAAATATCTCTCTACTACAATTTCATCGCAAATGTAATGCAAATAATTCATCTTTTTATTTTTTTTTATTTTTTTATTTATTATATTTATTGTAGATTTTCAGGTTTTCAGACAAATAGACAATACAATCACAGGACAGAACCAAATGAAATAACTTCAGATGCCAAAAAGTTCCCATAAAGTTATGAAAACGTTATTTCTCTGAACGTTCAAAAAGTTTTTAAAATGTTTTAAAGGGGTCATATAATGCCATTTTTGTACAAGCTAATATGATTCTTTAGGGTCTAAATTAAAAGTTTGTAATATACTTTAATTAAAAATTCTCATTAGTATTGTAAGAAAACAGTTATTTTACCTGGTCAAAAACAGCTCTGTTTTCAGCACGCCGTTTCAGTGCATATGCCTTTAAATGATCATGAGCTCTGCTGACTCCGCCCCTCTGTTCTGTGCTACACTGTAACTCAATAACACAATAACCATAACGCGTTGTTCAGTATAAACGTGGTATAAATTATGAATTATATTGAGAACGTCATACATAGAAAACATGCCGTAATGTACCCTGAGTGTAAACCTTAGACGCATTCATTGTGAAGCGTGCAGCTAGCAATATGCAAAGATATAAATATTAATATAAAGTTTAATAAAACGTTACAGCCACTTCAGTTCTTCTGGAGGTTCAGCAGGAACACGAATAGCTGGTACCGATCCTTTATTCAGGAAGCTTCTTAGCAAAACCAGCTCTATACTGACCCTCGTTTATAAAGCAGTCTGGTGAGAAATGATTTGCGCAAACATGAGAGCATTGACGTTGCTCGTGGGGAATATTCCCTTCGAAAACAAACTCAGCCACTGCGTCTTCAGCGGTTCGGATTCAGGAACATTAAAATGACTGTGTTCGTTATTACACCCAAGAACAGAACACCACAATCGCTTAGACGCCATTCTGCTCATAGACAGTGCTCCAGCATATCAACAATGAGCGCGCCGGTCCGCGCAGACTATGATTGACAGCTCTCACGAGCGAGGGCGGGTCTGGGTTGAAACGCTCCTGTCAATCAACAATCGTGGGAGGGGCTTCCGAGCGTGTGACGTCACAGGCTCGAACGGCTCGATTTGAGGCAGGGGAAAACATATAAGGAGATTAAAACAAAAACACTGGATGGATTTTTATCATTATATGATGGTTGTGTACAGGCACTGCCAACACACATTTCAGTACAATCAACTTGTAAAAGTGCATGTACCATTATATGACCCCTTTAAAAACGTTTTTTCTTGGAACGTTCCATTGTATCATTCTTCAAACATTATGTGAATGTTACTTTTGAATGTCCTCTGAACATCCCGAAACGTAACGTTTAAAAAACGTTTGACGAACATCTTACTAAATCATTACAGAAAAAAACAAAGTATAAATAAAGTTTTGAGAACATAATATATGTTATAATGCATCTTTTCATAAAATTATGACTTAAGTTAAAATGCATTATATTTGCATATTTCTTGTTACATCTGAAATTGGTCATTTTCTTAAATGTTTGAACATTATGCTTTTAAAAGGTGTAGCAATGAACAGATTTGTAATATGTATGTGGTTATAATTTTTCATGATATACATTCCAAGGCATAATTTATGCATTCAAATACTCTTCACCACTCTGTAAACCCGAATTAGTTGGCAAAACTCAAATAATTTGAGGTAATCAGTTACATACATTTTTTAAGTTAAGAAATCTAACGCTTAAGTAAGCAGAACTTGCAGATTTTTATTTTGTACTCATACATGCTTTTAAAAGGTGTAGCAATGAACAGATTTGTAATATGTATGTGGTTATAATTTTTCATGATATACATTCCAAGGCATAATTTATGCATTCAAATACTCTTCACCACTCTGTAAACCCGAATTAGTTGGCAAAACTCAAATAATTTGAGGTAATCAGTTACATACATTTTTTAAGTTAAGAAATCTAACGCTTAAGTAAGCAGAACTTGCAGATTTTTATTTTGTACTCATACATTTTAATCGCTCTTAACTTGAAATATTTGAGTAAGCTAATTCAGACACAATTTAAGATTATCATGTAATCTCAATATAAATATTTTTAGTAGTGGAAACTTGACTAGCTTTAACCAGCTTATTCAATAAATGCTACCTTGCTAATTAGTAACAAAATGCTTTGATAGCATTAGCATAGCATAGCACTCGATGAATGAGTGCAGCAATTTAAAACATTTAACATACACTGTTCTCAAAGCAAGCTCACGCTCCACTCGTCACGATGAAACCCCCAAAACCCAACAGAAACTCTTCTGAATGCATAACAAAACATTAAACACAACTAAATCTCACACTTAACATTAATCTGGCACAAAGCATGCTGGGAAATAGAAATCCCAGCCCAGTTTCCTAGCCTAGATAGATAGATAGAAGAAAAGAAAAGAAAAGAAAACAAAAGAAAAGAAAACAAAAGAAAAGAAAAAGAAAGTTCTAAATACTCATAAAAGTTAATTTGATGGAACTAATTTGTATAAATTTGAGTTGGCTCTACTCAAACCAATGAGTTATTTGAGCGTTAGGGTTCACGGTGATGATTGGCAGCTCCTCTAGCGTACGGACACGTGCTCACGCTCTAGCGCTGACTGTGTCTGTGATGTTCAGGGTTCTGTACGGAAACAAGATCACGGATCTTCCCAGAGGAGTGTTTGACGGACTCTACGCCCTCCAGCTGCTGTGAGTGTCACATGATGAAAACCTGAGAAACTGACCACTGGTGTGTGCGTGATGTTGTTCATCAGCGTCTCTCGCTCTCTCTCTCTCTCGCTCTCGCGCGCTCGCTCTCTCTCTCTCTCTCTCTCTCTCTCTCTCTCTCTCTCTATCTCTCGCTCTCTCTCTCTTCCTCCTGTGTTTCCAGGCTTTTGAATGCAAACGAGATCCACTGTCTTCGTGCAAACAGCTTCACGGACCTGCAGAATCTCTCGCTGCTTTCTTTATACGACAACAAGATCCAGACGCTGGCCAAGGGCACCTTCTCCTCGCTGCGCGTGATACAGACCCTGTGAGCACACACACCTGTGCACTCTTATCAGATCAATGCAGGACGTGTATGCATGCTTAATGCTTATTGATATCTAGTGCATTTAAATTTAGTGGTTATATTCTCATAAAAACATGCAGAATACTGTGTTGTTGATGTAGTCCTGTTAACTGTTGGCCTAAAGTTCTCTTATTGCAGAAGTGAAAGTGCTTGATGAAATGTTACGTTTTACAAAAGAAAGTTTAAGAAAGTATAGAAGTTTAAGTTTGTAAAGCAAATGTGCTGTACTAAACTTGATTTTTTTTTTTACCAAACATATATTTTACAAAATAATTTGCTATGAAATCAAAGCCGTATCTATTCTAATCGTGCTCCAAATTTGAGGTTTGTGTGAGGTTTTGTTTAGGCGCTTTCCCAAAAACAGCCGCCGGCGACAAACACACTGATGCGTTCTTCTGTCACAAAAGCAAAATTATCTGCCAATGGGGTGAGAAAAATAATCGTAATTAATTCAAACAGAAACAAGATGATTTTTCTTACGCCATTGGCAGATAATTTTGCTTTTTTTAAGCATCAACTCACTTAATTTTTATTTATTTCCCCAGAAAACATGACTTAATATCTCATGTCATTTTACTCATCTAGTAAATGCATCTTGATTTAAGAATTGTTAGATATTTGGACTGGAAACAAGACAAAACTACTGAGTACGAGAAGCATTTTCAGCAGTGTGTGTGTGTGTGTGTTGTCCTCAGTCATCTGGCGCAGAACCCGTTCATCTGTGACTGTAACCTGAAGTGGCTGGCGGATTACCTGCGCTCGAACCCCATCGAGACCAGCGGCGCCCGCTGTACCAGCCCTCGCCGGCTCGCCAACAAGCGCATCGGCCAGATCAAGAGCAAGAAGTTCCGCTGCTCCGGTGAAGCACACGCACTACACACTACACACTACACACTGACTACACACTACACACTACTGCACTACACACTACACACTACTGCACTACACACTACACACTACACACTACACACTACTGCACTACTGCACTACACACTACACACTACACACTACACACTACTGCACTACACACTACTGCACTACACACTACACACTACACACTACACACTACTGCACTACACACTACACACTACACACTACACACTACTGCACTACACACTACACACTACACACTACACACTACTGCACTACACACTACACACTACTGCACTACACACTACACACTACACACTACTGCACTACACACTACACACTACACACTACACACTACTGCACTACACACTACACACTACACACTACTGCACTACACACTACACACTACACACTACACACTACTGCACTACACACTACACACTACACACTACACACTACTGCACTACACACTACACACTACACACTACACACTACTGCACTACTGCACTACACACTACACACTACACACTACACACTACTGCACTACACACTACTGCACTACACACTACACACTACACACTACACACTACTGCACTACACACTACACACTACACACTACACACTACTGCACTACACACTACACACTACACACTACACACTACTGCACTACACACTACACACTACTGCACTACACACTACACACTACACACTACACACTACTGCACTACACACTACACACTACACACTACACACTACTGCACTACACACTACACACTACACACTACTGCACTACACACTACACACTACACACTACACACTACTGCACTACACACTACACACTACACACTACACACTACTGCACTACACACTACACACTACACACTACTGCACTACTGCACTACACACTACACACGCACTACACACTACACACTACTGCACTACTGCACTACACACTACACACTGACTACACACTACACACTACTGCACTACACACTACACACTACACGCACTACACACTACACACTACACACTGACTACACACTACACACTACTGCACTACACACTACACACTACACACTACTGCACTACACACTACACACTACTGCACTACTGCACTACACACTACACACTACACACTACTGCACTACACACTACACACTACACACGCACTACACACTACTGCACTACACACTACACACTACTGCACTACACACTACTGCACTACTGCACTACACACTACACACTACTGCACTACACACTACTGCACTACTGCACTACACACTACTGCACTACACACTACACACTACTGCACTACTGCACTACACACTACTGCACTACACACTACTGCACTATACACTACACACTACTGCACTACACACTACTGCACTACACACTACTGCACTACACACTACACACTACTGCACTACACACTACACACTACACACTACACACTACTGCACTACTGCACTACACACTACACACTACTGCACTACACACTACACACTACACACTACACACTACTGCACTACTGCACTACACACTACACACTACTGCACTACACACTACTGCACTACACACTACACACTACTGCACTACACACTACACACTACACACTACACACTACTGCACTACTGCACTACACACTACACACTACTGCACTACACACTACGCACTACACACTACACACTACTGCACTACACACTACACACTACACACTACACACTACTGCACTACTGCACTACACACTACACACTACACACTACACACTACTGCACTACACACTACTGCACTACACACTACACACTACACACTACACACTACTGCACTACACACTACACACTACACACTACTGCACTACACACTACACACTACACACTACACACTACTGCACTACACACTACACACTACTGCACTACACACTACACACTACACACTACACACTACTGCACTACACACTACACACTACACACTACACACTACTGCACTACACACTACACACTACACACTACTGCACTACACACTACACACTACACACTACACACTACTGCACTACACACTACACACTACACACTACACACTACTGCACTACACACTACACACTACACACTACTGCACTACTGCACTACACACTACACACGCACTACACACTACACACTACTGCACTACTGCACTACACACTACACACTGACTACACACTACACACTACTGCACTACACACTACACACTACACGCACTACACACTACACACTACACACTGACTACACACTACACACTACTGCACTACACACTACACACTACACACTACTGCACTACACACTACACACTACTGCACTACTGCACTACACACTACACACTACACACTACTGCACTACACACTACACACTACACACGCACTACACACTACTGCACTACACACTACACACTACTGCACTACACACTACTGCACTACTGCACTACACACTACACACTACTGCACTACACACTACTGCACTACTGCACTACACACTACTGCACTACACACTACACACTACTGCACTACTGCACTACACACTACTGCACTACACACTACTGCACTATACACTACACACTACTGCACTACACACTACTGCACTACACACTACTGCACTACTGCACTACACACTACACACTACTGCACTACACACTACACACTACTGCACTACACACTACACACTACTGCACTACACACTACTGCACTACTGCACTACACACTACACACTACTGCACTACACACTACACACTACTGCACTACTGCACTACACACTACTGCACTACACACTACTGCACTACACACTACACACTACTGCACTACACACTACTGCACTACACACTACTGCACTACTGCACTACACACTACACACTACTGCACTACACACTACACACTACTGCACTACACACTACACACTACTGCACTACACACTACTGCACTACTGCACTACACACTACACACTACTGCACTACACACTACACACTACTGCACTACTGCACTACACACTACTGCACTACACACTACTGCACTACACACTACACACTACTGCACTACACACTACTGCACTACTGCACTACACACTACACACTACTGCACTACACACTACACACTACTGCACTACACACTACACACTACTGCACTACACACTACACACTACTGCACTACACACTACTGCACTACTGCACTACACACTACACACTACTGCACTACACACTACTGCACTACTGCACTACACACTACACACTACTGCACTACACACTACTGCACTACACACTACTGCACTACACACTACTGCACTACACACTACACACTACACACTACTGCACTACACACTACACACTACTGCACTACACACTACACACTACTGCACTACACACTACTGCACTACACACTACTGCACTACACACTACTGCACTACTGCACTACACACTACTGCACTACACACTACTGCACTACACACTACTGCACTACACACTACTGCACTACACACTACACACTACTGCACTACACACTACTGCACTACACACTACTGCACTACACACTACTGCACTACACACTACTGCACAACACACTACTGCACTACACACTACACACTACTGCACTACTGCACAACACACTACTGCACTACACACTACACACTACTGCACTACTGCACAACACACTACACACGCACTACTGCACTACACACTACTGCACAACACACTACTGCACTACACACTACACACTACACACTACTGCACTACTGCACAACACACTACACACGCACTACTGCACTACACACTACTGCACTACTGCACTACACACTACACACTACTGCACTACACACTACTGCACTACACACTACACACTACTGCACTACACACTACTGCACTACACACTACTGCACTACACACTACTGCACAACACACTACTGCACTACACACTACACACTACACACTACTGCACTACTGCACAACACACTACACACGCACTACTGCACTACACACTGATTATTTTATTAAATGCCGTTGCGTACGTCTTCTATATCTTAAATTTATGCATGTGGCAAACACTTTTATCCAAAGCGACTTACATTGCATTTCAAGCCACACATTTACATTCTTATCAGTTCTTGCTTTCCTTGGGAATCGAACCCATGACCTTGGCGTTGCAAGCGCCAGCGCTCTACTGTTGTGCATAAGACTGACATGACGCCTTCATAATCATGACAGGACAGGACACATGTCATGAATATGAAGGAGGGTTTATGCATGTTTATGACAACTGTCATTAAGTGTCTTTCGCTCAATTATTACATTTTTTAATGCAAATATGACATTGTTTGAGATGTCTTTGTTATGACACCTTGACATTACCAAGACAAAATAAATTGTCATAAATATGTCATAAACATGACATAGCAGATTAATTATCAAAGTTAAGAAGCCACTTAGCTTTATGGGTTAACATTACATTAAACTGTCAGGTGGCTGGTTTTGACATTGGCTGTCATAAGGCCATTATAACTGTGTCATGAATATTTTTCTTGACCTCGACTACAGTGGTACACATTGAATTTGTTATTAAAAGGTTATAACGGCCTCATAACAGCCAATGTCAAAACCACCTGACAGTTTAATGTAATGTTAACCCATAAAGCTAAGTGGTTTCTTAACTTTGATAATTAATCTGTAATGTCATATTTATGACAATTGATGTTGTCTTGGTAATGTCAAGTTGTCATGACAAAGACACTGACAGGTTATGATGTATTGGTTTATGTCAAGGTGTCATAACAAAGACATCTCAAACAATGTCATATTTGCATTAAAAATGTCATAATTCAGCGAATGACACTTAATGACAGTTCTCATAAAAATGCATAAACCCTCCTTCATATTCATGACACGTGTCCTGTCCTGTCATGATTATGAAGGCGTCATGTCAGTCTTATGCACATCCCTTCAAGTAAAGTGTTACCCAACATATCTTGATGGCAGTAGCACAGCAAAATGAATGTTTTATGCTGTACACAATGGAGTTGTACTACCGTAAACATACACACTACATAGAGAGAGCCTGTAACAACACTTGCAACTCTCCGTTGTCTTCCAACATCGCTGGGATCCATTTCCCATCATGTGTGTGTATTGTGAGATGCTGATTGCTGATTCTTGTCCTGTTGTGTCTCCGTCACAGCCAAAGAGCAGTACGTCATCCCGGGTGAGTGTGTGTCCCGTCCACTGTACATCACACACACGCTTCTCTTAGTAGTCTGTGTTTGCACAGGTGCTTTCAGTCCAGTACACTATTACACATGTCTTTCAAAGAAGAAAATACTATTTCAGCTTTTCAACTTCACAATTTCACGTTCAACGTGTTACTTGCCGTTTCTTTGAAAATGTTTGTGAAATTGACTAACAATTGCGGTAACACTTTATTGTGATAGTCCCCTTTAGACATTCTACTTACAAATAACTACATGTCAGCTCTCAGTAGAGTATTAGTAGACTGTCAGGGTTAGTAGGATAAGTTGACCTGTAGTCAATCATTTTATCCCTTAAAACTAATCTTTGATCACCAAAATTACATATTTAAATGTTTTTTTCCTTGAAAAATGTCTTAAAATATCTTCAATGTAACTCGACACCCTTGTTTTAAAAAGCGAACTTAAAAAAAGTTACAGAATTTTACATGTATTTTTATGAAAAATGTGCAAAAATACTATTTTGAAATATATATTTTCAAAATCATGTTTTACTCTAAAACCGCAAGAAAATCAAAGCCATAAATCTGAACAAGTTGTGATCTTGATATCTCAGTAAATGAGCGTTCAGTGAGATGTTGTTCGGCTGCAGTACCGAACGCTTCCACTAGAGGAAACTCGTCTCTCATTCATTTCCAATGCGCTCGTGTCTGACCGCGAAGAGCACAAGTGTGACTATTGTTATCAGGACCATTTAACCTTTTCAAATCATGTTCATGATCTTTTTGTGTGTTCACACAGCAAGTGCCAAACCCTTTACCAAGCTTCATACCATTCCGATGAAGAAAAGAATTATAAAAAAAACGAATGTTCAATTTTCCGGTCAAAAATGACCCAAGAGCACCAGATGTTAGACCAGATGACTAGAAGAACGTTTGTTTGTAACCTTGAGAGAGCGTTTCCTGCTGACGGAGTTGTTTTTGCTGCAGGAACGGAGGACACGCGTCTAAACACCGACTGTAATAATGACCCGGTCTGTCCCGCCAAGTGCCGCTGCGAGGCGAACGTAGTGGACTGCTCCAACCTGAGACTGAACCGCATCCCCGAACACATCCCAGCATCCACCACTGAACTGTAAGACGCCGTCAGCCAATGTTTCTGATGAGAACGGATCCCATAAGTCTGTTTGGTTTAATCTCACTTTCATATGTTTTCACAAGCCGTCTCAACAATAACGAGATCACGACGATCGAAGCCACGGGTGTTTTCAAGACGCTGTCTCACCTGAAGAAGATGTAAGTCCCGCTTAGGGTTGGGTATCCTTTTAATTACATCGATTCTGATTCTTATCGATTCCTAATTTAAAGGTAAAAAAAAAACCTTAGATATCATTCACATTTAGTCTTATTGCAGGTTTAAAAGGTTTAAAAATACCATAGAAAAACAACTAGCCTAACTAAAATAAATTTCAAGCATTATTAAAGACAAGTAGACACTCAGTTATTAAAAAAGAACAAATAAAAAATTAGCAATCGAAACAAATAGATACAACTGAACAAAGATACGATTGAAATAAACTACTCGGTTACTATCGTAACCTCAGTTCCCTGAGAGAGGGAACGAGTATTGCGTAGCTATACGCAGTGGGGAAACTCCTTTTCCTCGATTTACTGAAACCTATATGTAAAACGCATTTGCATCTGCACAGCTAGCACACTGAGCGTCTGGCACGCTCATAGGCTGTGCTGCCGCAACTGCACAACCAATGGCGCGGGCGACTCTGACATGCAGCCAATGAGCTAGCTCAACGTCAGAGCCCGTCAAGGGGGTGTGGCTTAGCCTATAAAAGACCCCCGAATTCGCCATTATAGCAGGTTTATACGACTGAAGCGACAACTTCACCAGTTACTAAGTGCGGCCGGCTACGCAATACTCGTTCCCTCTCTCAGGGAACTGAGGCTACGATAGTAACCGAGTAGTTCCCTTTCGAACGGTCACTTCGTATTGCGTAGCTATAGGCAGTGGGGACGCCCTGTAAAACGCCGCACCCTTATTAACTGGTTGCACTGCAACTCAGGCCCCCTGAGCTAACAGAACAAGCCAGAACCCAATATATGAATATATATATATAACAGACCAGACACTGTCAGGCCTGAATAATATATAAGAGTCAGTAACAACCAACAGAATATACTAACAAACCCCGACACTGTCGGGATTATTAGTACAATTCATAACCGGCCTAAGCGGGTTTTATATGTATGTGATTATGCACAGTAATTTTTTGTAGACAAGACCAGACAGCATCGAGTCTTAATCATACTGAAAGAACCTTCGCCTGCAGGGAAGGCACCTCCATATTATAGAACTTCATAAATGTGGAAGGCGAGGACCAGCCGGCCGCATCACAAATATCTTGAATGGGAAACCCAGATGACCAAGCCCATGACGAGGCCATGCCTCTAGTCGAATGGGCCCTGACACCTATAGGGCAAACCTGACCCACTGAAGTATAAGCCATTGAAATGGCATCCACTATCCATCTAGACAGTCTTTGCTTGGTAACTGGACCACCCTTAGATCGGCCACCAAAGCAGACAAACAGCTGTTCTGACTGTCTAAAAGACGCAGAACGCTCCAGATAGACTCTCAGCGCCCTGACAGGGCAGAGAGGATTAACCTCCCCATCCTCAGCAGAAGGGGGAAGGGCTAATAGCGTGATAACTTGCGCTCTAAACGGCGTTGAGAGCACCTTGGGTACGTAACCATGCCTGGGTTTGAGAATGACTCTGGAGTCATCCGCTCCAAACTCCAAACATGCCGGACTCACAGAAAGGGCCTGCAGATCTCCCACTCGCTTGATAGATGCCAAAGCCAACAGGAGAGCAGTCTTAAGCGAGAGTGGTTTTAGATCCACCGACCGGAGCGGTTCAAAAGGCGGCCCCTTCAGGGCCCTGAGGACCGTGGAGAGGTCCCAGGGAGGTACTGATGGGGGCCTGGAGGGGTTAATTCTCCTAGCGCCCTTCAGAAATCTTACCACCAGGTCATTTCTTCCCAGTGATTGACCAGCCACCAACGCATGATGCGCTGCGATGGCTGCCACATAAACCTTGAGCGTGGACGGGGTGCGGCCCGCGTCCAGTAGCTCCTGCAGGAAGGAGAGTACCACCGATACCTCACATGACTCTGGGTCAACTCGATTTTTCGAGCACCAGCTGGAAAAACCCGACCACTTCAAAGCATAAAGACGCCTAGTAGACGGGGCCCTTGCTTCAGAGATAGTGCTTAAGACCTTGTCAGGAAGGCCCCCGGGTACCCGTTTAGGGGCCACACATGGAGGGCCCATAAATCGGGTCGGGGGTGCCATATCGTCCCTTTGGCCTGTGTGAGGAGGTCCCTCCTCATTGGAACGGGCCAGGGGACCGTGTCTGACAGCTGAACCAGCTCCGGAAACCATGGTCTGGATTTCCAGAGAGGAGCCACCAGAAGGACTGGGCATCCGCTCTCCTTGACCCGTTCGATGACTTGTGGGACCATCGAGATGGGGGGGAAAGCATAAAGGGGGCGGTTGGGCCAGGGATGGGCCAGCGCGTCCCTGTTCTTCGAGAAAAACACCCTGCAGTGGGTGTTGGCTCTCGAGGCGAAAAGGTCGATTTCGGCCTCGCCGAATCTCTCCCATATCAGACTGACCGTCTGAGGGTTCAGAGACCACTCGCTTACGGGAGTGTTGCCCCGTGAGAGCATATCCGCGCCCAGATTTTGGACGCCCGGGATGTGCGCTGCTCTCAGGGAGCTCAGGTTGGCCTGTGCCCATAGGAGGAGGTCCCTCGCCATAGCATGCAGGTTGCCCGACCTGATGCCACCCTGGCGATTTATGTAGGCCACCACTGACATGTTGTCCGTACGGACCAGGACATGGTGACCCCTGAGGTTTAACAGAAATGCTTTCAGGGCCAAACCAACTGCTTTCATTTCCAGACAGTTGATATGTAAGCTCTGCTCCGTGCTCGACCAGAGGCCGGAGGCAGGCTTGCCCTCGTGCAGCGCTCCCCAACCCAGGTTGGATGCGTCTGTAAAAACCACCTTCCTCCTGAAAACTATCCCCATGGTCACCCCCTTGCGGTACCAGTCCTGAGCCCGCCAGGGAATCAGTGTTCTTAAACACCCGTGATTCACCATAATGCGCAGGCTGCCTGACTGCCATGCATGGGTTGGCACACGGCGTTTCAGCCAGTGCTGCAGCGGGCGCATGCGCAGTAATCCCATGTGGAGTACTGATGATGCGGCTGCCATTAGACCAAGCAGTTTCTGAAACCTCTTCAGAGGCGCGCGCGCGCTCGCGCGCCCTGAATGCGGCTGCCAGTGTCTGCACAGAGAGCGCGCGCTCTTGAGTGAGCCGCGCTTTCATTGTCACCGAGTCTAAAACCGTGCCCAGAAAGACCACAGTCTGGCTGGGGTTCAGTTCGCTTTTGGCAACATTGATTGTGAGACCCAGGCATTTAAAATGGCCGAGAATCAAATCCCTGTGAACTATTAGTTCGTCTCTCGACTGCGCTAGCACCAGCCAGTCGTCGAGATAATTCAGCACACGCACTCCCTGGCTTTTTAGCGGGGAGAGCGCTGCATCCATACATTTCGTGAATGTACGGGGTGCCAAACACAGACCGAACGGCAGAACGGTGTATTGATATGCCCTCCCCTCGAAGGCGAATCTCAAGAATGGCCTGTGACGAGGGTCGATCTGAATATGAAAGTATGCATCTTTCAGATCCATTGAAACAAACCAATCCCCCGGGCGAACTTGCGCGAGAATTTGTTTGAGTATTAACATTCTGAAAGGCCGTCTCATGAGAGCCCTGTTCAAACGTCTCAGATCTAGTATGGGTCTGAGCCCGCCGTCTTTCTTTGGAATTAGAAAATAGCGGCTGTAAAACCCCGAATACATTAGCTCGGGAGGGACTGACTCTATCGCTCCTTTTGCTAATAAATTCTGAACTTCGGTGCGAAGCACGTGACCCACGCCGCTTCTCACCGATGTCTCGATAACCGCCTGGAATTTCGGGGGTCTGCGAGCGAATTGGAGCGAGTAGCCTCGCTTTATAGTGTTTATGACCCAACTCGACACACCAGGGATGGCTTGCCAGGCCATCGCCCGTGTGGCTAGGGCTTGACACACTGAATGGGGGGGACCGCCTAACATAGGGGGACCTGATATCCTTACACTGTGATTTGTGCACATACTGAGTGTTTGACTGATTATACAGGCTTTTGCCCGGGGGGATTTCAGTCTTACAACAGGGCGGGGGCCGCCTAGTGAAGGGGGACCGTGAACCCGTGTGTTGTGATTGTGAAACATACTCTTTTTGTGCTTTAGTTGGGTCGCCGTGAAAACGGCGTTTGTTTGCAAAGACGCGCTCACTGCTGCGGGCCTGTTTACAATAATAAAATCCCCAGCCGCCTGAACTGAACAGGGAGCTGTGGGAAGTTTTGCCGGTTTTTTCGAGGGTGGTCCGGCTAGCGCGAGACACGAGCCCTCTCTCTTTCCTCTCCGTGCTAGGACGACTTCGGAGGCACCTGGTCGGTCGCGGCGCTGGGTCGAGGGCCTTGACGCCAGGGGAGCGGGTAGCGCTTCACGGGCCTTGGCTGGCGTTGGCTATCAGCCGCAGGGCGGGGCTGAGAGGCCTGTTTCACCGGCTTGGCTGGATGAGGCGAAGGCGGCGGCTTGGGCTTGCTGGTCGCGGAGCTCGAACGTTTCGGCAAGAACTGTCGCATGGCCTGGGACGCTTTCTGTGCCTCTGTGTACCTCTCCGAGAATCCTTTCACCGCCGGGCCGAAAAGACCGGAGCTGGACACCGGGGCGTCGAGAAACCTCGTTCTGTCGGCGTCCTTAATCTCGGTGAGGTTAAGCCAAAGATGGCGCTCGAGCACGACCAAGCTCGCCATGTTTCTTCCGATGGCCTGTGCTGTAGCCTTAGTAGCACGCAGCGCTAAGTCTGTAGCACTCCTCAGGTCTCGAAAGGTCTCCGGGTCCGGGCCAGTCTCGTCCATGGACCGGAGGAGTTTGGCCTGGTAGACCTGCAACACGGCCATCGTGTGCAGGGCCGATGCAGCCTGACCGGAGGCGGAGTACGCGCGTCCAGCGAGGGCTAAGGTGTTTCGGCAGGGTTTGTTGGGATGAGCGGCTCTAGCTCGCCAGCTAGCTGCAGTGCTCGGGCAAAGATGAGCTGCCACGGCCTCTTCGAGGGGCGGCAAAGACTCATAACCCTTTTCCGCTGCGCCATCCACGGAGGAGAGCGTCGCGGAAACTGCAGATCCCACACGTGCTGAGTATGGAGCGCGCCAGGCCTTGGTTAGCTCCTCGTGGACCTCGGGGAAAAATGGCGCTGGTTTGTGACGCGGGGCCTGCTGGCGCCCCTCCAGAAACCATCCATCCAGCCGACTACGAGGCGGCTCCTCGGGCGAGGCCCACTCTAGCTCGAGGTCCGCATCGGCCTTCGTCAGGATCCGAAGCATTTCGGCGTCGGAGTTCGTCCTGGTCGCTAATCCACTGGCCACAGATTGAGAAGCGGAGACGGGGTCGAGAGAGCCCGGCCATTCGTCCTCAGAAGCGGCGATGGATATGCTGTCGTCGCGCTCGAGAGATCCGCCGAAGGAGACGAGGCCCGCCACGTGTGGGGGGGGGGGGGCGTTGGTCTCCTGTGAACAGGACCGGTGATGGCGTTTGAGTCGGAGAAAGTGAAGCACGCGGGGACGCGGCCGGCATGCGTTCACAAATCTCCAAACCCTCCGGTTGCCGTTGGCTGCGACGCTTCTTCTTCCTCGGAATGGAAAGCGTGGTTGAAGCGGCATCGCCGTCTCGAGAGAGAGCTAGCCGATTGCGCAGCACGGAGATAGGCATGCAGTCGCAGGCCGCACATCCGCCGACAGAGAGTGCATTCTCCGCGTGGTCGACACCCAAGCAGGAAATGCAGCTCTCGTGTTGGTCTGCCTCGTGCAGACGGCCTCCGCACGTGGCGCAGGATGAACGAGGCATTCTGAAACAAACACAATAATAGAAAGGATATAGGATGTTGCCGGATAGCCACAGGTGAGACGGCGTCAGGAGACGACGGCGTGCAGGCGAAGTCTGCTGAAGAGAAGCTCGCTCAGGCTGAAAGGCTTGTTCGACGGCGAATTCACAGTAAAAAGCTCAGGGACATGTGTACTGTCGCTGAAGGAGTAAAATCTGCTATAATGGCGAATTCGGGGGTCTTTAATAGGCTAAGCCACACCCCCTTGACGGGCTCTGACGTTGAGCTAGCTCATTGGCTGCATGTCAGAGTCGCCCGCGCCATTGGTTGTGCAGTTGCGGCAGCACAGCCTATGAGCGTGCCAGACGCTCAGTGTGCTAGCTGTGCAGCTGCAAATGCGTTTTACATATAGGTTTCAGTAAATCGAGGAAAAGGAGTTTCCCCACTGCGTATAGCTACGCAATACGAAGTGACCGTTCGAAAGGGAACAGTGTTTTAAGATATTCAGGTACAGAAACTGTAATCAAATGTAACACTGCACTTTATAAAATATACATTACAAGTATAGTTACAAAAGTTATTCAGTGAAAAACGAGTGAATTTTCTGTGTCTTGTGTTGTGTGATTAGTGTTATTATAGAGATGGCAGGAATATGAGTGCTGTCACTTTAAGAGCCGCACGGGTTCGATACACTGATACACACGACACAGCGCAGAGTCTCTCACGCTTGAAGATCATATTGAAATACTCACAAAGGGATCGATAAGAGGAATCGAAATGTTATATTTATAACAAGTATCTGATTCCCGACCCTACCGCTCTCATGTCTGGTTGTGATTCTTCACTAATGTTTCCCTTCGATCCGCAGAAACCTGAGCAACAATAAGATCTCTGAGATCGAGGATGGGGCGTTTGAAGGGGCGTCTTCGGTCAGTGAACTGCACCTGACGGCGAACCAGCTGGACTCGGCTCACAGTGGGATGTTCCGGGGTCTGGACGGCCTGCGCATGCTGTGAGCTCATGCACTCTCAGTCGAAAACCGTCATGATGTAGTAGAGCTGCACAGTTAGATGATGTAGTAGAGCTGCACAGTTAGATAATGTAGTAGAGCTGCACAGTTAGATAATGTAGTAGAGCTGCACAGTTAGATAATGTAGTAGAGCTGCACAGTTAGATAATGTAGTAGAGCTGCACAGTTAAATAATGTAGTAGAGCAGCACAGTTAGATAATGTAGTAGAGCTGCACAGTTAGATAATGTAGTAGAGCAGCACAGTTAGATAATGTAGTAGAGCTGCACAGTTAGATAATGTAGTAGAGCAGCACAGTTAGATAATGTAGTAGAGCAGCACAGTTAGATGATGTAGTAGAGCAGCACAGTTAGATAATGTAGTAGAGCTGCACAGTTAGATAATGTAGTAGAGCTGCACAGTTAGATAATGTAGTAGAGCTGCACAGTTAGATAATGTAGTAGAGCAGCACAGTTAGATGATGTAGTAGAGCTGCACAGTTAGATGATGTAGTAGAGCAGCACAGTTAGATAATGTAGTAGAGCAGCACAGTTAGATAATGAAGTAGAGCTGCACAGTTAGATAATGTAGTAGAGCTGCACAGTTAGATAATGTAGTAGAGCTGCACAGTTAGATAATGTAGTAGAGCTGCACAGTTAGATAATGTAGTAGAGCTGCACAGTTAAATAATGTAGAAGAGCAGCACAGTTAGATAATGTAGTAGAGCAGCACAGTTAGATAATGTAGTAGAGCTGCACAGTTAGATAATGTAGTAGAGCTGCACAGTTAGATGATGTAGTAGAGCTGCACAGTTAGATAATGTAGTAGAGCTGCACAGTTAGATAATGTAGTAGAGCTGCACAGTTAGATAATGTAGTAGAGCTGCACAGTTAGATAATGTAGTAGAGCTGCACAGTTAGATAATGTAGTAGAGCTGCACAGTTAGATAATGTAGTAGAGCAGCACAGTTAGATAATGTAGTAGAGCTGCACAGTTAGATAATGTAGTAGAGCAGCACAGTTAGATAATGTAGTAGAGCTGCACAGTTAGATAATGTAGTAGAGCAGCACAGTTAGATAATGTAGTAGAGCTGCACAGTTAGATAATGTAGTAGAGCAGCACAGTTAGATAATGTAGTAGAGCAGCACAGTTAGATGATGTAGTAGAGCAGCACAGTTAGATGATGTAGTAGAGCTGCACAGTTAGATGATGTAGTAGAGCTGCACAGTTAGATAATGTAGTAGAGCTGCACAGTTAGATAATGTAGTAGAGCTGCACAGTTAGATAATGTAGTAGAGCTGCACAGTTAGATAATGTAGTAGAGCAGCACAGTTAGATGATGTAGTAGAGCTGCACAGTTAGATGATGTAGTAGAGCAGCACAGTTAGATGATGTAGTAGAGCAGCACAGTTAGATAATGTAGTAGAGCAGCACAGTTAGATGATGTAGTAGAGCTGCACAGTTAGATAATGTAGTAGAGCTGCACAGTTAGATAATGTAGTAGAGCAGCACAGTTAGATGATGTAGTAGAGCTGCACAGTTAGATAATGTAGTAGAGCAGCACAGTTAGATAATGTAGTAGAGCTGCACAGTTAGATGATGTAGTAGAGCTGCACAGTTAGATAATGTAGTAGAGCTGCACAGTTAGATGATGTAGTAGAGCTGCACAGTTAGATGATGTAGTAGAGCAGTACAGTTAGATAATGTAGTAGAGCTGCACAGTCAGATAATGTAGTAGAGCTGCACAGTTAGATAATGTAGTAGATCTGCACAGTTAGATGATGTAGTAGATCTGCACAGTTAGATGATGTAGTAGAGCTGCACAGTTAGATAATGTAGTAGAGCAGCACAGTTAGATAATGTAGTAGAGCTGCACAGTTAGATAATGTAGTAGAGCAGCACAGTTAGATAATGAAGTAGAGCTGCACAGTTAGATAATGTAGTAGAGCTGCACAGTTAGATAATGTAGTAGAGCAGCACAGTTAGATGATGTAGTAGAGCAGCACAGTTAGATAATGTAGTAGAGCTGCACAGTTAGATAATTTAGTAGAGCTGCACAGTTAGATAATGTAGTAGAGCAGCACAGTTAGATAATGTAGTAGAGCTGCACAGTTAGATAATGTAGTAGAGCTGCACAGTTAGATAATGTAGTAGAGCAGCACAGTTAGATAATGTAGTAGAGCAGCACAGTTAGATAATGTAGTAGAGCTGCACAGTTAGATAATGTAGTAGAGCAGCACAGTTAGATAATGTAGTAGAGCTGCACAGTTAGATAATGTAGTAGAGCTGCACAGTTAGATAATGTAGTAGAGCAGCACAGTTAGATAATGTAGTAGAGCAGCACAGTTAGATAATGTAGTAGAGCTGCACAGTTAGATAATGTAGTAGAGCTGCACAGTTAGATAATGTAGTAGAGCAGCACAGTTAGATAATGTAGTAGAGCAGCACAGTTAGATAATGTAGTAGAGCAGCACAGTTAGATAATGTAGTAGAGCTGCACAGTTAGATAATGTAGTAGAGCAGCACAGTTAGATAATGTAGTAGAGCTGCACAGTTAGATAATGTAGTAGAGCTGCACAGTTAGATAATGTAGTAGAGCAGCACAGTTAGATAATGTAGTAGAGCTGCACAGTTAGATAATGTAGTAGAGCTGCACAGTTAGATGATGTAGTAGAGCTGCACAGTTAGATGATGTAGTAGAGCTGCACAGTTAGATGATGCAGTTAGATGATGTAGTAGAGCAGCACAGTTAGATAATGTAGTAGAGCTGCACAGTTAGATGATGTAGTAGAGCTGCACAGTTAGATAATGTAGTAGAACTGCACAGTTAGATAATGTAGTAGAGCTGCACAGTTAGATAATGTAGTAGAGCAGCACAGTTAGATAATGTAGTAGAACTGCACAGTTAGATAATGTAGTAGAGCTGCACAGTTAGATAATGTAGTAGAACTGCACAGTTAGATAATGTAGTAGAGCTGCACAGTTAGATGATGTAGTAGAGCTGCACAGTTAGATGATGTAGTAGAGCTGCACAGTTAGATAATGTAGTAGAACTGCACAGTTAGATAATGTAGTAGAGCTGCACAGTTAGATAATGTAGTAGAGCTGCACAGTTAGATAATGTAGTAGAGCTGCACAGTTAGATAATGTAGTAGAGCTGCACGGTTAGATAATGTAGTAGAACTGCACAGTTAGATAATGTAGTAGAGCTGCACAGTTAGATAATGTAGTAGAGCTGCACGGTTAGATAATGTAGTAGAACTGCACAGTTAGATGATGTAGTAGAGCTGCACAGTTAGTGAATGTAGTAGAGCTGCACAGTTAGATAATGTAGTAGAACTGCACAGTTAGATAATGTAGTAGAGCAGCACAGTTAGATAATGTAGTAGAGCTGCACAGTTAGATAATGTAGTAGAGCAGCACAGTTAGATAATGTAGTAGAGCTGCACAGTTAGATAATGTAGTAGAGTTGCACAGTTAGATGATGTAGTAGAGCTGCACAGTTAGATAATGTAGTAGAGCAGCACAGTTAGATAATGTAGTAGAGCTGCACAGTTAGATAATGTAGTAGAGCTGCACAGTTAGATAATGTAGTAGAGCTGCACAGTTAGATGATGTAGTAGAGCTGCACAGTTAGATAATGTAGTAGAGCAGCACAGTTAGATAATGTAGTAGAGCTGCACAGTTAGATAATGTAGTAGAGCTGCACAGTTAGATAATGTAGTGGAGCTGCACAGTTAGATGATGTAGTAGAGCTGCACAGTTAGATAATGTAGTAGAGCAGCACAGTTAGATAATGTAGTAGAGCTGCACAGTTAGATAATGTAGTAGAGCTGCACAGTTAGATAATGTAGTAGAGCTGCACAGTTAGATAATGTAGTAGAGCAGCACAGTTAGATGATGTAGTAGAGCTCCAGTTAGATAATGTAGTAGAGCTGCACAGTTAGATAATGTAGTAGAGCTACACAGTTAGATGATGTAGTAGAGCTGCACAGTTAGATGATGTAGTAGAGCAGCACAGTTAGATGATGTAGTAGAGCTGCACAGTTAGATAATGTAGTAGAGCTGCACAGTTAGATAATGTAGTAGAGCAGCACAGTTAGATGATGTAGTAGAGCTGCACAGTTAGATAATGTAGTAGAGCTGCACAGTTAGATAATGTAGTAGAGCTGCACAGTTAGATAATGTAGTAGAGCTGCACAGTTAGATAATGTAGTAGAGCTGCACAGTTAGATAATGTAGTAGAGCTGCACAGTTAGATGATGTAGTAGAGCTGCACAGTTAGATAATGTAGTAGAGCTGCACAGTTAGATAGTGTAGTAGAGTTGCACAGTTAGATGATGTAGTAGAGCTGCACAGTTAGATAATGTAGTAGAGCTGCACAATTAGATGATGTAGTAGAGCTGCACAGTTAGATGATGTAGTAGAGTTGCACAGTTAGATGATGTAGTAGAGCTGCACAGTTAGATAATGTAGTAGAGCTGCACAGTTAGATAATGTAGTAGAGCAGCACAGTTAGATAATGTAGTAGAGCAGCACAGTTAGATAATGTAGTAGAGCAGCACAGTTAGATAATGTAGTAGAGCTGCACAGTTAGATAATGTAGTAGAGCTGCACAGTTAGATAATGTAGTAGAGCTGCACAGTTAGATAATGTAGTAGAGCTGCACAGTTAGATAATGTAGTAGAGCAGCACAGTTAGATAATGTAGTAGAGCAGCACAGTTAGATAATGTAGTAGAGCAGCACAGTTAGATAATGTAGTAGAGCTGCACAGTTAGATGATGTAGTAGAGCAGCACAGTTAGATAATGTAGTAGAGCTGCACAGTTAGATAATGTAGTAGAGCTGCACAGTTAGATGATGTAGTAGAACTGCACAGTTAGATAATGTAGTAGAGCTGCACAGTTAGATAATGTAGTAGAGCAGCACAGTTAGATAATGTAGTAGAGCTGCACAGTTAGATAATGTAGTAGAGCTGCACAGTTAGATAATGTAGTAGAGCTGCACAGTTAGATAATGTAGTAGAGCAGCACAGTTAGATAATGTAGTAGAACTGCACAGTTAGTCGAAATGAAACCGCACGCAATTTGTCAAAAGCTGTGATTATTTTTTAATGCGCAGTTTGTCGGTGAAGCGGCTGATCGGTAGTAGATGCTCCATCTGAACACCAGAGGGCGTCACACACACACGCACACACCACTTATCCATCTGAACACTTGAGGGCGTATCACACACACACACACACACACACACGCACACACCACTTATCCATCTGAACACTTGAGGGCGTCTCACACACACACACACACACACACAAACACCACATATCCAACTGAACACCAGAGGGCGTCACACACACACACCACATATCCATCTGAACACTAGAGGGCGTCTCACACACACACACACACACATCCATCTGAACACTAGAGGGCGTCTCACACACACACACACACACACACACACACCACATATCCATCTGAACACCAGAGGGCGTCTCACAGACACATACACACACACACACACACACACCACATGTCCATCTGAACACCAGAGGGCGTCACACACACACACACACACACACACCCCGCCGCAGAAGTAGGATAACGCACATCATTCCAGGAAACCCCTATCGCTGTATCTGAATAAACAGAAGATTGAAACGCTTTGATTAAGCATGACTAATAAACACACGGCTGCCTTTTTCTGTGTGAGAAGCGCATCATCTCACTGAAGGACGAGCTCAACTGTCCTCATGAAGTGAGTTTGGAGTAAAAGTGTGTTATTAAATGTTGTCTTTTGTTGGACAAGAGGTTCATAAATGCATCTCACGTTTGGAAAGATGTTTGACGTGTTGCTTTTTCAAATGCACGTTATAAGCTACTCAAACTCGCAGATCTTTCAGAGTGAGCCGCGTTTACTGAGCCGTGCTTCACTGACACGCTGCGCATAACTAATAATCACAGACTTTGCCATTTCAAATCGTGATGAGCCAAATCAGTTTAAGTGCGATAATGTAGCATTTTCTTCATCTGAGTTCATCCTCACGCTCTGTGTGTTTTCCAGAATGCTGCGGAACAATCGCATCGGCTGCATTCACAACGACAGCTTCACAGGCTTACACAACGTGCGTCTGCTGTCCCTGTACGACAACACGCTGACCAGCATCACCCCGGGAGCCTTCGACACGCTGCAGAGCCTCTCCACCCTGTACGGACACACTGCTTTAGCATGAGCTGAGACATGTTTCCTCTAACCTGTAACTCCAGCTGGGAACGATAACTGAACCATCTCAGAACGTTACGAACAAACGTTCTTCCAGGAACGTTAATAGAACGCTCGTTCAAAGTTATCTGGCCTTTAATAATGCTCTCAAAGCACGTTATTTATACATCAGTTACAGAATTTTTTTTTCTGAAATGTTCTAGTTGTACATTCTTATGTTACTTCTTGTTTCAGAACGTTCAGAGAATATTCAAAAGTAACATTCCCATAATATTTGCAAAACGAAATGTTCCTTTAAAGGAGTAGGTCACTTCAGAATTAAAATTTCCTGATAATTTACTCTCCCCCACGTCCTCCGTTCATGTATTTTTTTCTTCAGTCTAAAAGAAAAGGTTTTTGAGGAAAACATTCCAGGATGTTTCTCCATATAGTGACTTCAATGGGGTCCAACGGGTCGAAGGTCCAGATGTGAGTTTCAGTGCAGCTTCAAAGTCTCGACACGATCCAGCCGAGGAATAAGAGTCTGATCTAGACAAACCAGCGGACATTTATAACAAAATACACATTTATATACTTTTAACCACAAATACTCGTCTTGCACTAGTTTTGCAATGCATAATCACGCTGAAAGGTCAAGCGTGACGTAGGAGGAAGAACAGACCCAGTGTTTACAAAGAGAATGTGCAAAGACTAAGTCAAACGCCATTTACAAAAAAAAATAACGAAATAAAAGGTAAAACAATGATGTCGGATGATTTTGAAGTAAAAAAAGAGATTAGAGTTTTTCGCTCTACTCTACTTTTCTGAACCGGAACACCCGTGACCTTTCAACCGGATTACGTAATGTATGGCGCATCATAGCTAGTGCAAGACCAGCATTTGTGGTTAAAAGTATATAAATGTAAAAAAAAATTAGACCGATTGTTTGTCTAGATAAGACTCTTATTGCTCGGCTGGGATCGTGTCGAGACTTTGAACCTTTAGATACTATGTATCTAGGGTGGCTATATAATGGAATTTTGTTCATTCCATTCCCAAAATTAGCCAGTAATCTTGCAAAAACGCCAAAGTTAGCTAACATATTTTAAGAAAGGCACACATAAAAAAAACACATTTACCCCTGTTTGCATCTGCAAGCCCCGCCTTCTAAATGAAAGAGCCAATCGCCAATTGGTAAAGTCATTGCATCACTGCAGCTTTACAATATCCCCATTCAAAGAGATGAAACTCTAAGAGGCGTTTCAAAGTGGCCGCCGAGTGAAATGACTTTCCTTATAGGGACTTTGGTTTGGTCATGCAGACGAGGCTAATTAATATGCATGTGTGTGTGGCAGAAACCTGCTGGCCAACCCGTTCAACTGCGACTGCCACCTGTCCTGGCTGAGCGTCTGGCTGAGGAGCCGCAAGATCGTGACGGGGAACCCTCGCTGCCAGCGGCCCGCCTTCCTCAAAGAGATCCCACTGCAGGACGTCGCTCTGCCAGACTTCCAATGCGGAGACGGTGGGATCGACAGTCAAAACAACATTCATTCAGACACCCTCAACATTTCTCACATCATCACAGTTTATTCGCTATAGCTATAAATATGAACTCAGAGTTCTCAGTTCTTGCACACTGAGTCCGAAATTTTCATATGCGCTTTTTCGTATTCGTGATTCGGTGGCTCTGAATTGTCAAAACACCATTCAAACTCCATTCAAAGAGCTTGCTACGGATGCGAAAAATGCAGAACATTGAAACGGATCCGATTTTTTTTTTATGACGAATGTTTAGGAGGCAGTGTGCAAGCGTTATTGACATAACGTGAGCTCGGATTTATTTTTTAACGTGCGACAATTTCAGAAGCGAATTTCGGACTCAGTGTGCAAGGGCCTTAACACTGCAGAAAAAACACTGCCACAAAACATGGTCAGGTCAAAGTTTCAGAATAATATTTGGTGCCAAATTTTTATAGATTTTACTGGTAGTCACTGTATGAAGAATATTTGGGTATAATATGTCACAGTTTACTTTATTCTGCTCTCCTCACTTACATAAATGAACTATAGTGTCCTGCACACACTAGTGAAAAAATATCAAATATTATATCTGGTGTCTGAATAATAGTAGGTTTGACTGTAATTCAGCGAGCTGCATGTGTGTATGCCCAGTGTTGTGCGAGTGCTAACGCTGGTGTGTCCTCAGATCACGAGGAGGCGAGCTGCTCTCCGCCGGCCCAGTGTCCCAGCGAGTGCTCCTGTCTGGAGGCGGTGGTGCGCTGCAGCAACAAACACCTGCACCTCCTGCCCAAAGGCATTCCTCGCAACGTCACCGAGCTGTGAGTCTCAGACACAACGAGCCAAAGCTATTACACTGTGTGTCCTGATCAGGGTTTGCAATTAACTTTTTTACTCACCAGCCAATTTGGCAAGTTACCGGCCATTCAGAACTTCTACTAGCCAAAATAAGAGAGAAATAAACCAGATTAACTACGTCAGATACTGTATATATATGATCAAATTTGGGTTTCATACAATTATTTCTTATTCAAACAAAATCCTCATCCAGCATCTCCTCTCTTCCTCTTTCATCCTCATCACCACAAATGTGTTTTAGGTAGACAGATCAATACAGGACAGAGAACATCAAAAAAGATTTAGGATGTTGGAAAATAACAATGCTCTTTAATCTTCGCTATTGCTTCAATGCAAATGAACAAGCGTGCCGTTATTTGTTGTGTAGTGACGTGTGTGTGTTCAAGTAAGCCAGATATGAGCAGATCTGTGCAGTACGCTGTATTTAATATATCACGAGGACTCAGTGTTTGCGCTTAATCTGTGCAGATTTGTCTTACTTGAACTTCCCCAGCAAAGTGAGTAAACATAATAAGTAACGCCAAACTGGCTCGTGATTTGACAGCTTAACCCGCCACAGCTGATCTTTACCCGCATATGGCGGGTGTTAATCTCAAACCCTCGTCCTAACCATAGACTGTAAAAAAATATGGACGTAGTGTGCGTGACATCACCTGAATGTTTCTGAAGAGCATTTCTGAAGCCCAAAGTGGGCGGAGCGGGCCGTCGCCATCTTGGCAGCGTCACTCCCGGATAAACGAAAATGTGGAGCGAGGCGGATTAGCTGAGATGACGTGACGCTAACGCTAACAGACAAATGGCTACTAGTGACAACAGCGGCAATCCACCTGTCACTCAAGTGGCCACGCCCTTAATTATGCAGAATGTCCTGGTTACGTATGCATCCCTGAAGGAGGGAACGGAGGACGTAGTCGACGTCGACTGAATGGGGATCACGCCAGGGAGCCAATCATCTTCGAGTACTATTGAACGAGCCAATGGGAATTGGCGTGCGTGAGAACATCACACACTCCGTCACATGGATCGGGCTGGGTGTCTCTACTGCGGCCGGCTCCAAGCTGAGGCCTGGCTGGAGGCTGCTGCGGAGGCCCAGCGGGAGCGGCGGCAGGGGAACGCCCTTGGCGACGAGCAGGCGGAGGAACTGCCACCGGCGGCGGGGTGGAGGCAGCAGCGGGCCGCCGGGGCAGGATGTGCCGGGTGGCCTCCTTCTGCGCTTGGGCGGCGTCGCCCACCAGCCCAACCTGAGAAACTGGGGAGACCAGGAACCGAACCTTGTCCGCATCCGCCATATCAACCAGGCTGAGCCAACGATGGCGCTCCTGGACCTCTAAGGTGGACATCGCCAGACCGATCGCGCATGCCACGACACTCGTGCCCCGGAAGGCGAGGTCGGAAGCACTGCGGTGCTCACCTATGAGCGCACAGTCTGGGCTACCCTCGTGCATGTCCATGGTTGCCCTGGCCTGACAGACCTGTAGCAGTGCCATGGCACACTTGCCCACAGGCTTTGTAAGCTCTGCCCGTCGGAACAGACGAGAACTCACAGGCCTTAGGGGGAAACGAGGATCCCCCCAAAAGGCAGCGGCCGCCGGACACAGGTGCACCTGTGTCGCGACAGACCGCTCCACTGGAGGGATAGCCTCGCAACCCTTCACCGCTCCTCCCTCAAGGGTAGTGAGGGGGAAAAGCTATTCAGGTAGTTTCTGGCAGAGAAAGGTGCCGTCCACAACCTGTTAAGCTCTCCATGCACTTCGGGAAAGAAAAGCACTGGGGCGGCGAGCTGAGAACCAGTGCGGCCCGCCCCGAGATACCAATCCTCCAACCGAGACTGAACGGGACACGGTGGAGGGTTCCACTCGAGCCCGGCAGCCTCGGCGGCCCGTTTCAGCATGGCTGACATTTCTGGATCTGGCTCGGGCAACGTTACACTCCCAGAGGGAGATAACACAGCCGAGTCGTCATCTCCAGAGGCCAGCTCACCCTCCGATGCTGCTATCGACATCTTATCCTCTGGGGGAAGCCCAATTGAAACGGCTGATCGGTCCATTACAGAGGGACCAGCACGTCTAACAGGAATTCCATCGGCTGCGGTGTGATGGAGGAGTGAGGAGCCCACAGGGAATGGTTACCGGGCGAGACCCCCATCACTATCCTCCGATCACCCATCCCACACGGCACCCAGGGGTGGGGCAAGGTAATGGGGATTCGCGCTTCGCGGACGAAGGCGAGTCTCGATCTTAACACCGCGACAGTCATATTTCCGCAATGGGAACATGTACCGCCCACAAAAGCTGCTTCAGCGTGCTGTAAGTCCAAACACGAGATGCAACAATTGAGACCGTCAGAGAGGAAAAGGGAACGACCGCATCCAGAAACGCACAGGTGGAATGACATCTGGAAAAAGACGCAAACGCACCCGTGTTGCTCTTTCAGGAAATAGGACCCATCACCAGTGCCGGATCACACAGGGGAATGACCGCGGCAACACTGAACAGTGATCTGAAACAGTGAAGCACTCACTCTTCCGCCCTCTAACCAGCCGTCAACACACACAAACATTTAGAAATTTGTTGCTGTTAAAGCTCGCGATCACCGCTGCACTCGCGCTGTAGAAACCACCAGCACTGGGAGATTCTTCCAGAAGAACACGACACACTCGGTCGTTGTAAAAACGGCACTCTTCAGAGACATCAAACGATCGGCTCCGAAGCGAAAGGCAACTAGTGCGTGCATCCACTTCCGTATTTATACCCGCGCCGCGGGGGCGGAGTGTGTGATGTCATCACGCATGCCAATTCCCATTGGCTCGTTCAATAGTACTCGAAGATGATTGGCTCCCTGGCATGATCCCCATTCAGTCGACGTCGTCTACGTCTGACGTTCTCGACTGAAAGGGAACTTTAAGGCTTAATATAATTTAAACGGATGAGTTATAAAAAATATTCACCCCCCTCACAGTTGTCATGAAGGGCAAAATTAGCTATATAGACCAAAACCCCTTTTTGCACCAGGCTGTAAACATGTTTTTTTCTGCTGTAAAGTTGAGCAATTTAACATGGGGGTTTATGGGATTGACTCTCTTTTGGAGCCTGACTCTAGTGGCCAGTCGATGAACTCCAGCGTAAGTCTCTTCCGTGTTGATTCACGAGAGATAACGGAAGGTGCAAGGAGAAGGACTGCATTTTTCTTTATTTAATCAGGGACAATACACATTAATAACATGAAAAAATCAAGATTTAGCCAAATAAGCTCATTTTCACCTGCAGTCCCTCATACAAATATTTTTTGGAGTGTTGTTGCTGGTTACAAAAACTCTTTAATGTCAATTCTTTAATAAACTCTGAGATGATCAGCTCCCTTATCAAATCGCAGTGTTACAGGATACAAGCTACTTTACACACATACAGTTTCAGTTATTCTGCCAAACATCTTTTGGTAACACTTAACAATATGGTTCCATTACCAACATTAATTACCATGAACTAAAAATTAAAAGTAATTTTCAAGCATGTATTATTAATCTTGCTTAATGTTAATTTCAACATTTAGGAATACATTATCAATATCAAAAGTTAATATTATTGAATTTCATTTAATTTCTCTTTATTTGAAAGGGGACAGTGTACATTAATCAACATTAAAACAATGTAAATGTACCCGAGTGAGCTCAGAAGTGCTCATTTTCATCGGTAGTCCCCCAGCCAGGTGTACAAAAGGCAGCCTTAAAGATAATCACAGGTATAAAATCACAAAATAAAATTACATACAACACATTATGGTTAAGAAATACAATTCTTGTAAAATAAATATATAATGTTTAAATGCACACAGAAAGCATTAGTGCCCACAAGTTTGGCTCTCTACAAGCCATTTTCTTGCATTCTTTTTGTATGAAAAGATTGACAAAGACTCTCGGATGGTTTCGGGCACTGTGTTACACTGCTGCGCTGCTCTTACGGAGAAGACAGCCTGACCAAAAGCTGTTTTTCTCCGGGGGATAATGCAGTCTTCCCTCACTGCCCCTCTGGTTACCCTACCCTCACTAGATCTAAAATGTATACCATGGAGCAGAGCTGACATGAACTAACAATGAACAAAATATCGTTCCCTGAACGGGACCTTATCTGAAGTGTTGTGGTCCTGGATGAGGCGGTTCTGTGTGTGTGTGTGTGTGTGTAATTAGTGTGTTTTAGAGTGGGAGTGACACACATCAGAGCCTGTCGTCCCTCAGAGCGTGAAAACCTGTCATTACTCCCGCTCTCACTGACCGTAGAGCTGGTCCAGGTGTTGCTCTCAGACCGTCATTAACCTCCAGCTCCAGCTGCTCAGGGTCTCACTCTCACACACACACACACACACTCTCTCACACACTCACTCACTCACTCACTCACTCACTCGCTCACGCACACACACACACTCACTCACAGACACGCACGCACACACACTCTCAAACACTCACACACTCTCAAACACTCACACACTCACACACAAACACACACACACACACACACACACACACACACACACACACACACACACACACACACACACACACACACACACACACTCACTCACTCACTCACTCACTCACTCACTCACTCACTCACTCACTCACTCACTCACTCACTCACTCACTCACTCACTCACTCACTCACTCACTCACTCACTCACACACACACACACTCACACACACAAAAAAAATGTATTTACATTTACATTTAGTCATTTAGCAGACGCTTTTATCCAAAGCGACTTCCAACTGAGGACTAAACCAAGCGAGTCATCGTGAAGGGGCAAAAATAACGCAAGAAGTGCTCAAAATACAAAGTTCAGACATAGCTCAGAGTAGCATAAGCCAGACAAGCGTTGAAGACTAGACGAGCTGCAGCATTCTGGATCATTTGTAGAGGTTTAGTTGCACATGATGGAAGTCCAGCCAGAAGAGCATTGCAGTAATCAAGTCTAGAGATGACCAGGCCCTGGACGAGAAGTTCAGTTAGGAAAGGCCTGATCTTCCTGATGTTGTGCATTGCAAACCTGCATGATCGAGCTGTCTTTGTAATGTGGTCTGTGAAGGTCAGCTGATCATCAAAGATTACTCCAAGATTTCTGACTGACCTTGATGGGGTGATTGAGGATGACTCTAGCTGGACAGTGAGGTCGTGCTGTAGAGACGGATTGGCAGGGAGGACGAGAAGCTCAGCCAGGTTGAGCTGCAGGTGATGTTCCTTCATCCATGCCGAGATGTCCGCCAGACAGCTTGAGATCCGTACAGCTACTGTGGGATCATCTGGTTGAAATGAGAGGTAGAGCTGGGTGTCATCAGCATAGCAATGGTAAGAGAAACCATGTGCCTGTATGATGGATCCCAGTGATGTGGTGTAGATGGAGAAGAGGAGTGGTCCAAGAACTGAACCCTGGGGAACCCCTGTGGTCAGCTGATGTGCTTTGGATACCTCGCCTCTCCATGCGACCCTGAAGGACCTACCTGTGAGATTGGACTCAACCCAGTGGAGAGGAGTACCTGTGATGCCCAGTGATGAGAGGGTGGACAGAAGGATCTGACGGTTCACAGTGTTGAAGGCAGCAGACAGATCCAGGAGGATGAGAACTGATGATTTGGAAGCAGCTTTTGCGATCCGCAGGGCTTCTGTGACTGACAGTAGTGCAGTCTCCGTTGAATGCCCTTTTTTGAAGCCAGATTGGTTGACATCCAGCTGGTTGTTCAGAGACAGGAAAGATGACACTTGGTTGAAAGCAACTCGTTCAAGTGTTTTTCGCAATGAATGGTAGGAGAGAGACAGGTCTGTAATTCTCTAAAAGTGATGTGCTTAACGTTGTTTTTTTAAGCAGTGGAGTTACCCGAGCCTGCTTAAATGCTGTAGGGAAAGTGCCAGTGTGGAGGGATGAGTTGATGATGTGTGTGAGAGCTGGTAGAAGTGTGGGAGAGATGGCTTGTAGAAGGTGTGAGGGGATGGGGTCTAGAGGGCAGGTGGTAGGATGACTAGAGAGGAGAAGTTTAGAAACTTCTTCCTCGGTTAGTGGAGCGAAGGAGAGAATATTTATATAAATATATATACAATATATATACTTATATATAATATAAATTATGTATAAATATATATACAGTATATACATGCAAATATTTCTTAAATATATACATGCATGTGTGTATTTATATATACAAAATAATTATATACAGCACACACACATATATTATGTAAACAAAAACTTTTATTTGTGTTGCGATTAATCGTGATTAATCATTGCCCAGCACTAGTAAAAATATTCAGTAGTGAGTAAGAAGATGTAATTATGTGAGAAACAGATGTAATTATGTTCTTTGAATGTAATTCCTGCAGGTACCTGGACGGAAACCAGTTCAGCGTAGTGCCAAAAGAGCTGTCCAACTACAAAAACCTGCAGCTAGTGTATGTCTCTCTCTCTCTCTCTCTCTCTCTCTCTCTCTCTCTCTCTCTCTCTCTCTCTCTCTCTCTCTCTCTCTCTCTCTCTCTTATTATAAGATAATAATATCATATACGCTGTCGTCATTCATCAGCTGGTTTGATGATCTTTCGTTTCAGAGACCTGAGTAACAACAAAATCAGCTCCTTGACCAACTCTTCGTTCTCCAACATGAGTCAGCTCACGACCCTGTACGTCACGCTCATTACTGTCATGCTGAGTCTCAGCTGTGAAAGGGAAATCTCACTGGAGGATGTGTGTGCTTTTGTCTTGCAGGATCCTGAGCTATAACGCTCTCCGCTGTATCCCGACTCTCGCCTTCAGGGGTCTCCGGTCTCTCCGCCTGCTGTACGTATCTCTATTACTAACTCTACAGACACTCTACACGGTCTCAAACACTCACGTACAGTTCTAGTGTCAGATGCTCGAACCTCTCAAGCGGATCGTGACGCAGCCGTTACCGTCCTGATCCCACTGAACTCAGAACAACTGGAAATGATTTGAGCTGAATAACGACACTATTGTCTTCTGTTTTATAGCTGAATCAAATGTATTCAAAACTGATGCATTTTGTAACATTAACAGTGTTATTGAACTAAACTGAATCAACATTGAACTGAATTAAATCAACATTGAACTAAACTAATCAACATCGAACTGATCTGAATCAACACTTAAGTGACTCAAAGTGAATAACGTCTTTCAGTTACGTCGGATGACGACGAATGGGGTTTCGCTTAGAAAGCCTATCAACTTCGAGCATTACAAAACGAGCCAATGGCAAAGAAATGCCATGGGTCTGCGGAATTTGCATGGCGCAACTCCGCCCCACCTCGTGGGTATAAATGGAGGACGCCGGCAATATGCAGATATGTTTCTTCGCTGCGGAGCCAAGACTGAGCTCAGGCGATCCCCGCAGTACAGCGGAAGTGGCAGGCAGACGTAACTATTACGTCGGATGATGACGAATGGGGTTACCAGTCTAATCACGCCACCTTCACAGCTGTCTTCCAGTGCCCTGCGTAAATCTGAGATCCCTGTCGTGAGACTAGCATGAACAAAGGACTCCTATTTAGCACAGGAATACCAAGGTACACTGGGGAGCATGTCTCATATCTCATAGAAATATGCAATTAATGCCAGCCCAGAGGGGGGGGGGGGGGCTTAGAGAATACACATATGACCCAGAGGGATGCATATGGAGAACACTGGGGTGTCCAGCCGCAGGTGTCTGTTAGCGAGGCGCCATGCGCTAGAGCCCGAGAGGACGCCACACTCCGGGTGGAGTGGGCAGTCACACCAAGGGGGCACGGTCGACCTTGCTGCTGGTATGCCAAAGCAATGGCGTCCACTATCCAGTGAGACAACCTTTGCTTGGAGAGAGCCTTTCCCTTCGGCTTCACACCATAACAGACAAAGAGCTGGTCTGAGGTCGTGAAACACTGCGTTCTGTCTACATAGGCATGGAGGGCGCGTACTGGACAGAGCAGTGCCAAGGCTGGGTCTGCCTCCTCCGGGGGCAGCGCTTGCAGGTTCACCACCTGGTCCCGGAAGGGAGTGGTGGGAACCTTGGGCACATATCCAGGCCAGGGTCTCAGGATCACGTGAGAGTAAGCCAGCCCGAATTCCAGGCACGCTTCGTCAACGGAGAAAGCGTGCAGGTCCCCTACCCTCTTGATGGAGGCCAGTGCAACCAGCAGAGCTGTCTTCATAGACAGGAATTTAATCTCCACTGATTGTAGAGGCTCAAAGAGAGCACTCTGCAGGGCAGTTAAAACCACTGATAGGTCCCAAGAGGGAACGAGAGGAGGGCGAGGAGGATTCAGTCTCCTCGCTCCTCTCAGGAACCTGACGATCAGATCGTGCTTCCCTACGGACTTACCTTCCACTGTATCATGGTGTGCAGCAATAGCCGCAACGTATACTTTGAGGGTGGAGGGAGACAGCCTTCGCTCCAACCCATCTTGAAGGAAGTAAAGCACGACACCGATCGAACATCTCCGGGGGTCTTCTTGGCGAGAAGAGCACCAGTTGACGAAGAGGTTCCACTTCAACACGTAGGCGTGTCTCGTGGACGACGCTCTAGCGGAAGTGATGGTAGCCACCACCACTGCTGGTAGGGTACTCAAACCTGCCTCGTCCCGTCCAGGAGCCACACGTGGAGGTTCCAAAGATCGGGACGAGGGTGCCATAGGGTGCCCCGTCCCTGAGAAAGGAGGTCCTTCCTCAGAGGGATTGGCCAGGGAGGTGCTGTCGCGAGGAGTACGAGTTCGGAGAACCAGGTCCGGGTTGGCCAGTGCGGCGCGACCAGAATGACCTGCTCCTCGTCCCCCCTGACCTTGCGCAGCGTCTCCGGAAGAAGGCTCACTGGAGGAAACGCATACTTGCGGCCCCGCAGCCAGCTGTGCGCCAGTGCATCCGTGCCGAGCGTGCCCTCGGTCAGGGAATAATACAGGGCGCAATGGGTCGAGTCGTGAGAGGCAAACAGATCTATCTGTGCGTCCCCGAACTGGTCCCAAATCAGCTGAACCGACTGGGGATGGAGTCACCATTCTCCAGGGAGGGGCTGAAGCCGTGAGAGCTCGTCGGCTGCACAGTTCAGGGCTCCGGGAATATAAATGGCTCGATGCGACCTCAGATGCTTCTGACTCCATATGAGGAGGTGGCGGGCGAGTTGCGACATACGGCGGGAGCGTAGACCACCTTGATGGTTGATGTACGCTACAGTGGCGGTATTGTCTGATCGGACTAGTACGTGTTGAGCCTTGAGCAACGCCCGGGAGCGGTGCAGAGCAAGACGTACTGCCAGCAACTCGAGGCAATTGACATGCCATAGGCGCTGGGGTCCTGTCCAGGAGCCCGCGGCAGCATGTCCATTGCACATGGCGCCCCAACCCGTGGTGGAGGCATCTGTTGAGACAACAACATGCCGGGAAGCTCGTTCCAGGGGCACTCCAGCCCGCAGAAAACTGAGGTTCGACCACGGGGAGAAGGTCTGACGGCAGGTTGGAGTAACTGGTACTCGGAGGGTGCCGTGTTGCCATGCCCACCTCGGGACTCTGTCGCGAAGCCAAAGCTGAAGCGGTCTCATATGAAGCAATCCGAGCGGCGTTGCCGCAGCTGCAGATGCCATATGCCCCAGGAGCCTCTGAAATAGTTTCAGTGGAACCGCACTCTTGCCCTCGAATTGTCTTAGGCAAGTCAGCAGTGACTGCGCGCGCTCGCTCGTAAGCTGCGTGGACATGGCGACCGAGTCGATGTCCATACCGAGAAAAGAGATCCTCTGCACGGGGCAAAGTTTGCTCTTCTCCCAGTTGACCCGAAGGCCTAGACGGGCTAAGTGCCGGAGCACTAGGTCCCTGTGTTTGCAAACCTGGTCTCGAGAGTGAGCTAGTATCAGCCAGTCGTCGAGATAGTTCAGGATGTGAACCCCGTGTTCCCGAAGGGGAACAAGGGCTGCCTCAACGACCTTCGTGAAGACGCAAGGAGACAGGGCCAGCCCGAAAGGGAGAACCGCATACTGGTATGCCTGCCCCTTGAAAGCAAACCGTAGGAACGGTCTGTGTCGAGGGAGAATGGAGACATGGAAGTAGGCATCCTTCAGGTCGATCACTGCAAACCAATCCTGGGGCCGAACACATTCGAAAATGTGTTTGGCAGTGAGCATCTTGAACGGCATCCTCTGAAGGGAGCGGTTCAGAACACGCAGGTCCAGGATTGGCCGTAACCCACCGGATTTCTTCGGTACAATGAAGTAGGGGCTGTAGAAGCCGGACCTCATTTCGGCTGGAGGGACAGTCTCGATCGCACCCTTCGCCAGTAGGGTAGCAACCTCCGCTCTCATGACAGGGGCATTGCCACCGACCATAGTGAAGCGGACTCCCCTGAAGCGGGGAGGAGACCGCGCGAACTGAATCGTGTAGCCGAGCCTGATAGTTCGTGCGACCCAGCGGGACAGATGGGGAAGCTCTAACCAGGCTCCCAAGAACTACACCAGCGGGGTCATGCGAACCACAGACTCTGTGGGGCAGCGAAGCGGAGTGACCGGCCCGGACGTGGACGGCATAGCGGCCCGGTGTGGGGGCACGGTCATCATCCGCGCCCTGACAGAGGAGGCCAGGGAACATTGTACTGTGTTTTTTGTCCAGTGAGTTACTTTAAGTGTCCTGACCGCAGGGTGATCAATCCTGGACAATGACGTATTGGAATCCCCAATTCTGCAGCACAGCGCCGAGATATACATTTAAGGAAACTAAACAACCGAGAGAAATATATGTCTACTACTTCAGATTTAACGTTTGATCTGTACATCAGCATCGGGGAATAACATTGTAATCTCATTCACGGTAGAGAAAGCTGCATGTACAAAAGTAACTGTGAAGACTTCAATGTAAAAACCTATTTTTTTACAGTCTATGGTAAAAACGAATCGCTTTTCTACCCTCGGTACTTCCAGTAATCGCTTGATTCCAGTTCTGGCTTGATTGACAGGTGTCTCGTCCAATCAGCGACAAGTATGCCATTCTCAAAATATACCTACCTTTTCCGTTTTGAATGAATTCATTGTCGTTGTGTTTTCTGAATTGTTATTTTGTTTTCTAAATTGTCGTGGTGTTTTCTGAATTGTTGTGTTTTCTGAATTGTTATTTTGTTTTCTGAATTGTCGTTGTGTTCCCTGAATTGTTGTTGTGTTTTCTGAATTGTTATTTTGTTTTCTGAATTGTAATTTGTTTTGCACCTCTCGGCCACCGTAGCAAAGTCCTCAACTGCACCGCCGAAAAGGCCGGCCTGGGACATGGGGGTGTCGAGCAGCCGGGACCGCTCGGCATCCTTCATGTCAGCCAGGTTCAGCCAGAGATGTCTCTCCTGGACCACGGCTGTGGACATCACCAAACCCAGGGAGCGTGCGGTCACCTTCGTCGCCCGGAGAGCGAGATCGGTGGCGGCGCGCAGCTCATCAAAGAGCCCTGGGTCTGTCCTACCCTCGTGCATGTCTCTGAGTATCTGGGCCTGGTAGACCTGCAGAGTGGCCATAGCATGCAGAGAAGCAGCCGCCTGTCCCGCCGCTCTGAAAGACTTCGCCACTAACGTAGACGAAAATCTACAGGCTTTGGATGGGTGCTTAGGCTGGCCACGAGAAGAAGCACTCTGAGGACACAGTTGCATCACAACAGAGTGTTCAACCGGGGGGAGGAAAGGCGGATGAGATAAGCAAGCGGTCCCGGGAAGACATGGGGGTCTAACGGGCACCGTCACTGGAGGGGGAGGTGCGGGGCACGGACAAATAGTCGCGCCTTGTTCCACACCGTCACCCTCAGGTCACCCTGGCCACCAGCCGAAGTACTAGCTCTAGGTCTAGACTCTAGAGGAAGTAGATCGGGGTGTGGATGAGGGGACTCTCACTCTTGCAAGATCATTGAGTCTCGACTGTAGTGTCGCGATGGTCATGTTCCCACAGAGAGAACATGAGTCATCCACGAGCGCTGCTCTAGCGTGATCAATGCCCAAACACACTAGACAGCGCTCATGCCCATCAGAGTCCGACATGAGTCTACCGCAACCAGAAGTGCACGGGCGAGGCATCTTTAAAAAGACGTGCCACGTGCAAGCTCTTTTGTGAGAGGAAACTCAGTGTTGAAGCGCCCAGGGAGAAACACACTCACTGGCAAACCACTGCACAGATAAGCAGGAAGTGTGCACTCGCCGGGAGATCGCCGTCACACCAACACCGGAGAATCTCGCTCGTCTGTAAAGCTGACAGTTCAGAGATGGCTTGTGGAGTGAAGAATAAACTTGGCTCTGAAGCGAAAACATATCTGCATATTGCCGGCGTCCTCCATTTAGACCCACGAGGTGGGGCGGAGTTGCGCCATGCAAATTCCGCAGACCCATGGCATTTCTTTGCCATTGGCTCGTTTTGTAATACTCGAAGTTGATAGGCTTTCTAAGCGAAACCCCATTCGTCGTCATCCGACGTAACTCGGAGTGACAACGAAAGGGAACGACACTATTGTCTTGTTTTGTAGTCGAATAAATTTTCTGCCAAACTGATGCATTTTGTAACATTAACAATGTTATTGAACTGAACTGAATCAACATTGAACTGAATTGAAATAACTTTGAACTGAATCAACATTGAACGGAACTGAATCAACACTGATCTGACTCAAAGTGAATAATGACACTATTGTCTTGTTTTATAGTTGAATATATTTTTTTCAAAACTGATGCATTTTGTAACATTAACAGTGTTATTGATCTGAACTGAATCAACTTTGAACTAAACTGAATCAACTTTGAACTGAATTGAACCAACTTTGAACTAAATTGAAACAACTTTGAACTGACCTGAATCAACATTGAACTAAATTGAACCAACTTTGAACTAAATTGAATCTACATTGAACTAAATTGAATCAACTTTAAACTGAACTGAATCTACATTGAACTGAATTGAATCTACATTTAACTAAATTGAATCAACTTTAAACTGAACTGAATCTACATTGAACTGAATTGAATCAACTTTAAACTGAACTGAATCTACATTGAACTAAATTGAATCAACTTTGAACTGACCTGAATCAACATTGAACTAAATTGAATCAACTTTGAACTGAATTGAACCAACTTTGAACTAAATTGAAACAACTTTGAACTGACCTGAATCAACATTGAACTAAATTGAACCAACTTTGAACTAAATTGAATCTACATTGAACTAAATTGAATCAACTTTAAACTGAACTGAATCTACATTGAACTGAATTGAATCAACTTTAAACTGAACTGAATCTACATTGAACTGAATTGAATCAACTTTAAACTGAACTGAATCTACATTGAACTGACTCAAAGTGAATAACGACACTCTTGACTCTATAGAGCTGCTCTACAACAGAATTTGTCTCATATTTGATGAAGTTTATTCTGTTATTTTCCTTTTTATTACTTTGAAGCTGCTTTGAAGCACTATAGAAATATTCGATTCATTCACCACATAAAACAAATGACTGCCAACATGTTTGAAAGAAAAGCATAGTAGGTTTTCTAGAATTAATCAATATGTAATAATTAGGGGTGTGACGAGATCTCGTGCCACGAGATCTCGCGAGACTAAATATGACGAGATTTTTCGTCGAGTGAAAAAGCTGTCTCGCGATATCCCCATTAATATTCCACCGCTACACTCACATTCGCCTAAACTATCGTTTTGTTGTTTTTATAAAAAAATAAAAACCATTATAAACTAATGCAAAAGTCTGCTCTGCTCATCCAGCGCGAGTTGCCGTTGCAATCAGTGCAGCACGAATCACAGTTCACTGATCGCGTGACGATGGCGGAGGATTCGTTGCGCAACAGACTAAACGTCTGGTAAATGTCTTATCATTTAGAATGCGCGCTCAGCACCGCTGCTCCCTATACGCGCGGTCACGAATTTGTAAGTGAAAGTAAAACACAAGCTCCCTGATGTGCATTGCGCACAAATTAGGCTGCATACATAAAATAATCCGTCTCCCAATACCCATCTCTGGACTGTTTATTTGCGGCTCTGGTCTCTGTTTGCACTGCGAATATTGAGAGAGCACTGTAACGTACAAAGGACAACAGACAAGGGAGGCTCCGTTTCTGAACTTATAATCGGAACGCAAGAACAACTGTAGAGACAAACAGCCTCGTTTCTCTCGGCCTTTTCCGAACTCACCGCATTAACCCTATAACTGCCGGTGCAAAATAAAACCGCAATTTCACAACAATTATAAAGAGTCTGTGTGCTAACTTTGATTATGGTTGCACTCGCACTTATTGTTTGCACTTAATAAGACTAAGAGAAAACAGTTATTTATTTTTGTTATTTATACGGTTTTTATTTCTCTGTTAAATGTATGTAAAGGAGTTCAGTTAGGAGGTCACACACAGCCTCAATCAGAAGTTCTGAAAGCTCTTAAATGTACAGTAAGGTCTGAAGAGACTAATGTGAAATTATACAGGAGAAAAGCCAGTCAATAAAAACCTTTTACAGTGCTTGAATATTGTTTTCTTTCAATGCATTTGATAATTCATACTCATAAAGTAGACCTGAAATGACATGCATTAGAAGATTATTAGTTAAAACATTGAAAAATGCACCTGCATACTATTTTTCCAGCCATGAATTTTGTCATTGAGGATTTCTGAAAAATTGTGCAAAAATCTCGTCTCGTCTCGTTCTCGTGAACCCAATCTCGTGTCTAGTCTCGTCTCGTGAGATAAGCGTCTCGTCACACCCCTAGTAATAATTATAAAATAATATTTCGGATATAATATTATTCATAACCACCCATTTTACAGAAGTCATGTTTAAAGAATAAACATTGTAAAAATGCCTGTAAAGAAAAAAGACTGTAAAAATGCTACAGAGGAAAACTGTTAAAGATCTAACCGTACATTTTACAGTAAAATACAGTTTTTGGACGTGAAAAAGAACAAATCATTGTATAATTTACAGTGAAAAAACGTAAATTGACAGTCCCACACTTCACATTTGATGTATTTTTGTTGTAATTTCTGTTTCTTCATATTTTTTTCTTGCAGTTTTTTCAAATTTTATGTTTGTTACCCTGATGGTAATTAGCGTGTGTGTGTGTGTGTGTGTGTGTGTGAATGACACACTGCGCAGCTTCTATATATTAGTTTGAACTTTCTCATCTTGTGGAAAACCTGCTTGTGATGAGCTTTGATTGATCATGTGACTCTCATCTCCACTGTGATTGGTGGCTGTCAGTGTATTACAATGGTACAAAACAGATATTAGTACTACAATAGGTCGGTAAATTAATGTTATATGAGATAATGAAATACGTTTTCTTTACTGTAATTTTAAGGTAAGTCTGTAAAACCTGAAATTTTGCTACCTTATTTTTACGGTAAATTCCTGGCAACCCCAGCTGCCATTTTTTAATCGTAAATTTGATGTTTTTTTTGTTTTTTTCAGTGCAGTGTCTGATGCTTTCTAGCATGTTTCTGTCTCTCGTGTGGTTCTCAGGTCTCTGCACGGCAATGACATCTCAGAGCTGCCTGATGGCATCTTCACCGACGCAGCGTCACTGTCACACCTGTGAGTAAAGACACACACACACACACACACACACTGCTTCATCTGATGGATCTGAGCACTGTAACACTGAGAGTATTGAACACACTGGCTTTAAAGTGAGCCGAAACCGAGCAGCACACCAAGTCTTTTACGTCTGCTTTGCCTTAAAGGGATAGTTCACCCAAAAATGAAAATTAGCCCATGATTTACTCATCCTCAAGCCGAATACAATCAGAGTTATATTAATAAATGTCCTGGCTCTTCCAAGCTTTATAATGGCAGTGAATGGCCGTTTTCTGCTTTTATGATGGATAGATGCACTTTTATGATGGATAGATGCACTTTAATGATGGATAGATGCACTTTTATGATGGATAGATGCACTTTTATCATGAATAGATGCACTTTTAAGGACTTCAAAACAGAAACACCCATTCACTGCCATTATAAAGCTTGGAAGAGCCAGGACATTTTTTAATATAACTCTGATTTTATTCGTCTGAAAGAAGAATGTCATATACACCTAGGATGACTTCAGGGTGAATAAATCATGGACTAATTTTCATTTTTGGGTGAACTATCCCTTTAAGCTGCAATTTAGAGCTGTGTAAACACACATCAGGGTTCGGTCCGTCGGTCTTCAGATCCATTAAACATCTTCATGTCCCTGCGTCTCTTCTGTGTGACCTAGAGAATGAGTGTAACCCTTCGTGTCCGTCGTCTGCCCGCACGTATGCTGTTATAAAACAGCTCTTAAATCTTATAGGATGGAAAGTATTCAATACGCACACGTCTCTGACACACATCACTTGGATACTGGCGATAGGTGATTTCTGATTGCTGGCAACGGTAAATAGCCTAATTAGTCTAATGTGTAATGAGCTGAAACTTAAATAACATTTCTGTTGCTTTAAATAAAATGAACTGTCACTAAAATAATAAAACAGAAAAATAAAATACAGTTCACCCCATAAAACCTGTACTAAAATCCATTTATCTTTGGATCACAAATTAAGATTTTTTTTTCTATTATATTTAGTCACGATATTGATGACAGAATTTAGATTTCTTGTTTTATTTCTGCATGAACAGTCCCTTTAAATCCGTAACGCAGCCTCTGTGGACATGTTTCTTTATTTAGAGGAGTTGAATAGAATTGAAACTCTTTGTTTGGCCATTGCAGCAGTTTATGGTTCGGCCCGCAGCGCCATCTAGCAGTGATGATGCAGTAATACACCCTCCAGGAAACTTACATTCAGACATTTATCTTTTCATGGAAGACATACTGGGGTTTATTAAAGATGTAATATTCCAGCCAGTGAGACTGCTTGACCAATCACCAAAGAAGCATGTGGATATTATCTATACAAATAAGATTTTCTTATTAAAGTGCTAAAATGTTGAAGTATAAAGCCAAAGTATTACAGAAATTCAACACAGTAGGTGCCAGTCCCTCCTCATTAAATTGACTCTCTGATTGGTGGAATCTTCTGTATTGCATCATGGGTAATGTAGTTTTCACCACAAATTCTGCTGTTAAACATGATTTTTAGAAAAACTAGCTAAAATGATGTGGATTGGTGACTTCAACAGAAGCAGACCCATCGATTAACAGCCTCGCTGCTCACAGTCGGGCTGGCTTAAAGCGTTACAAGCTATAGTTAAAAATCGATTTCCATATGAAGAAAATGAATGTTCATGCAAATGCTGTGAAAGGCGTGTGACGGGTAACTGATAAAAATGACGAGAACAATGACAAGAGGGGTTGTGCTCGTTTATGTGCTCAATAGGATATACACAGGCAGGTTTTCTTCAAATACATGCTTTCAAAATCATCTCATTTTGACTGGAGCGTGTGTGTGTGTGTGTGTGTGTGTCCTCAGGGCCATCGGTGCGAACCCCCTGTACTGCGACTGCCGCCTGCGCTGGCTCTCCGACTGGGTGAAGACCGGATACAAGGAGCCTGGGATCGCGCGCTGTGTCGGGCCGCACGGCATGCTGGGAAAACTGCTGCTCACCACGCCGGCCAAGAGGTTCGAGTGCCAAGGTGAGATGAGTGAAGGATTCGGCGGTGAGCGGGGATATCTCCCTATCATTGAGATGCTATGATTTCTATTGATATTTTCAAATAATTTTAATTTTGATTTTACATTTAGTTGTGTTTTTGCCCTTTTTTATAATTTTTTTTAAGTCTATATAGTTTTTATTCATTTTTATTTCATTTGTATTTTAGTACATCAACTTAAAATGAAAATGAAAAATTTCAGGAAACGTTTTGTTGCTAAAAGTTAAAGATAAATCCATGAAGCTGGGTTATAAAGATGGTTATGATGGGTTATGTAGACCACAAACTCTGATTTGATCTTTTATCTTTATATCTCGTTTATATATGGGCTATATATAAGCTTCTGACTTTAAAGATGGTTTTTCTTCTGGCTATCACTTCTTTGAAAACAATTGGAGATTTGCAGGCTCTGTCGATCTCGCCATCCGGCCTACTCTTTGCCCCAGTAATGGTGAAAGCAATCCTGACGACCTGCCTAAGGTCCCGTTCTCGACTGTACATCCGGTCACTCTTGAGGCCTTCTGCCCTCCGCCGTTCACACCGCCGGATCAGGAGAGGCTGTGAACGTCCGGCTCCTGAACTGGCTGCAGTTCCTCTCCGGCTCCACATGTGGGCGCTCACAGGACGAGTGCAGAGGTCTATGGAGATATACCCCTCAAAATACACTTTTCTCAGGATATCATTTTTCGTCTAGTAATTTGAATGTTGTATTCGAAACAAGATGCAAAGAAATTACACATTACTGGGTGTTAGATTTTTTAGAGTCACTTATTTGCTTTAAAAAGTCTTTTAAAATGTCAATGACGTCACACACATCGATACTGCTTTCCGGCAATCCTTCAGTCACTGGTTTCGCGCTCTGCACTTTCTGTTCTCTCGAGACAGCGGACACGGGTAAACACACGAGCTAGAAGAGTTTTTGTAAAACTAAAGTTCTTAACATTCTGGTCTGGATGCCACGATGCCATCAAGCGGTGTCTGGTCGTAATCAGTCCTTCACTGACCAACCAGCGTCCATTAGCAGAATGCTAGCGTGTTATGGGCAACAACAACTCACTCAACTTGTAGGAAATCGAAAGGACATAAGTGCTCGTACATTCAACTTTCGCCCTATAACCCATGTTGAACTTGCAAAACCTACAATCAAATCTGAGATTTCTCAACGACAATCGGGTGAGAGAGACACATTTAGCCGTCTAGCTCCATAGACTCCCATTCACTCATGGGCGATCGCCCCCAGTGGAACTCTGGTGGAACTACAACCACAATTCGGTACAATAGGACTTAACAGGGAGTGGCCAGGCTCAACGTAGACGGGCTCTGGCGTTACTGACAGACTGGGAAGAGAGGAGCCGCAACAATGAGAATATGAGGAGAATAATCAACATTCAAGCAGGAAAACCTGTTCTAGTAGAGCCTGAACACAACATCAAGACTTTGGCCTCTTTAAATAAAAATCTTTACATAATATTTGTCATTCATACCTGAGCAAAGCTCTTCTACCCGTCTTTGTTCTGAGAGAGACCCACTCAGATTGTCATTGTGCCTCTTTGAGATATGGATGCAGGTGTTGTTGATATTTGCGGGACTTGTTGTGTGTGTGTGTGTGCGCAGGTGAAGTGGACACTGCGATACTAGCGAAGTGTAACCCGTGCATGTCTAGCCCCTGTCTGAACCACGGCCGCTGCGAGGCGGATCAGACGGACGGATACAGGTGCATCTGTTCTGAGGGGTTCAAGGTGAGCGCACAAAACACGGGACCAATGTGAACGCTGACAGACGGACGTGAAGCGCTCATGCATTTGCTTTCACGTACAGGGCAAGAACTGTGAGACTGTGAGTAACGCTTGTGTCAGTGAGCCCTGCAAGAACGGAGGAACGTGCCACGTGTCCGGAGGAGAGGAGCAAGGCTATAGGTGAACTATCCACATCACAGTTTATTAGCGTTTAAAAACATGTGGATTAGATGAAAGCATGCAACAAAATATTATTTCTTGTACTAAATTCATCATATTTTCATTTGAAGACACTGCATTACAGCTAAATGAATTGTTCTGGGGCTTAAAAGAAGTCGAGAGGACTCCTAACTCACTAAGACCGATTCACACAGGATTGTAGCGCACACCAGCGCCTCTCGCAGTCGTCCGGGGTCTGCGACACAAGCGGGAACGCTGCATCGATCTGCAAACAAATCCTCTCCCATTCTCACGCTTAGTTTTGCTTGATATCCCAGTGCCGAATTTCCCTTTTATTATGTTTTTTTTTTTTTTTTCAGCACCAGCTGGGCCAGCAGCAGTAACTGATCCTGCGTCCAGTTGGGCTTTCTTTTCCGTTTTGGCGAGTTCATAATCCACCGTCATTCAACTATTACATTACTTCAATAGGAGCAACATTTCCTTGCTTTAAGTAGTCTATTTAGGCTAATAGGATGTCAATTAACCAAGCAAGCGTTAATACAAGTGTCATTTTTCATTATTAGGCAAGTGACGGTTTTCATTAGGGTATTAGGCTACCTTGATTTAATTTAATTCACGACTTTCTCTCTCTCTGCCTTTTTAGAATTACACTTCAATGGGGCCTGCACAAACATGTCATTATATATGCATTTCGATGATATTACTATTATTATTTTGTGTAGGACATGATTTGTTGCGTCTGTGTTATGCTCCGCATGATGGCCCTGTCATCTAACAACCAATCACCGTGATCACTGCGAGGAAACTCGTGCATGAGACTTGACGTCATCCATAGCAACGAAGACTCACTCTTAGTTTAGGAGTTGTCATTTTTCCTTACTAAGAGTAGGTCTGAAAGGCGTTGTGAATAACTTTTAAGAGAAAACTCCTAGCTAAAATATTTTAGTGTGATTTAGGAGAACTCCTAGTGGTAAGATAAAATTCTTTGTGAATACGGCCCCTGAAAATTATATCACAGTATAAAAATTGTATTGTCCGAAAAGTGGTGTTCAATTCCAGGTTTTTTCAGAGAATCGACTTAATGCAATCAATTCCTCAACTTCATTAACCATTGATTTTACATCAAAACGGGGTCAGCAATTGAATACAAGATTGCAGTTGCAAAATTAATTTAAACGTTTTTTCCAACACAAAGCCTTTAAAGTCCCCCTGTGGTTAAAATCCAGCTTTTAATGTTGTTTATGTGTCTATGTGGTGTTTTTAATCTGCTTTAAGACACACCATGTGTAAGTTCATAAGTCGACAGCATTGCTGAGTATTTCCTCCTTAAAACTGCAGTGAACCAAAGACAGTCTCAAAAACACGGTTTGAAATCGCTGGTGTTTCTGACGTCACAAACGACCTTGTAACCAATCAGATCAACGTGTGATCGTCAACCAGTGGATCTCTGAGCTGAGTGAGTGAGTGGAGGCGGGGCTCATTTGCATATTCATAGAACCACGCATACTAAATGAGGCAAGGGTGTCGAGTTACATTCAAGATATTTTAAGGCATGAAGACATTTTCAAGGAAAAAAATGCTTTAATATGTAATCTTAGGGATCAAAGATGAGTTTTAAGAGATAAAATTATTGACTACAGGGGGACTTTAAATTTTAGCCTTTTAGCGTGACTTTCCGAATTAGTCCAATTTAACAATGCCATTACCGTGATATGACGAGTAACCCATGTTTACCCAGTTGGGTAACACTTTATTTCAATAATCCACCTTAGACATTCTACTAACTATAACTAACTAACTCTCATTAGAGTATTAGTAGACTGTGCTTAATATCTGATAACTCTTTATTTTGATGCTCCAAACAGACTTTCTACCTTCGCAACAACATGTCAACTTATTCAACTAACTCGAACCCTAAACCAAATTAGTATTTATAGCATTAATGTTACATTAAAAAAATGACAAAGCCGGCATGGAGGTATTTATAATTACAATCTATGGTTACTGAATGTTATTTATTTAAGTAGGATAAATGTATGTAACGCATGGTGTAGTATGTCAGGGTCCGAATTCGCCTTTGGCTAAACGACACCCTTGAATGTAGATTGACCAATCACAGCACAGCCAAGAACGAGCTCCCACAGAGGTCCGACACTTTTTCACAGCGCTCCATTGACTTTAACACAGGCGTCTCATGTTATATTGCAGCCCCTTTAGCCTACTTCTGTCGGACACTTTATTTGCTGCTTTATAAAAGTTTGATAAAATTTCAGCATGAAGAGCTGTCACAGCATAAGCCATGTTGATACCAAACCAGAGCCCAGATGAAGTTTGTTTGTCGGACGTAGCAACAGTAACTAAGGGGGGCGGGGCTTAGCCAAAGGCGAATTCCCTACGTCCTTTCATTGACTCCATGCTGATATAGTGCACTCAATTGCTGTGCACTATATAGTGAGTGAACATGTGAGAGATTTCAGACACAGCAAGAGTGTCAACAACAACGAGAGTCGATTATACTGTAGGATCGAGCTCGACTCTAGGGCTCTTCACACTCGAGGAATTGACTCTTTTTCACCTCTAGCTTCTAAAATAAGCTGCAAAAACATACTGTGATGTGATGTCTTATATTTGAAATATGACGAGGACTTCTTAATGAAATTCAGTGTTTCATTCCCACAGTGCTTAGAAAGCTTGATCCCCATTTAAAGCAATGCATCTGTGTTTTCTCAGCTGTTCATGTGCTGCAGGCTTTGAAGGTCCCGCGTGTGACACCGACACTGACGAGTGTAAAGATAACGACTGTCAGAACGGAGCGACCTGCGTAGACGGGATCAACAATTACACATGTTTATGTGCCCCTTTTTACACAGGTACATGATAAGGCCCCAATATATTCACTGCGAAGGGGTACAAAGAAAGTTTGAAATACCTTTGCAGTGATAAACTGTTAGAGAACATCCTGACTACGCCCACATTTCTGTTAGGGAACATCCTGACTCCGCCCACATTTCTGTTAGAAAACATCCTGACTCCGCCCACAATTCTGTTAATGAACATCCTGACTCCGCCCACAATTCTGTTAGCGAACATCCTGACTCCGCCCACATTTAGATGAATATGTAAATATGAGCTTCTCTTTCCTCTCAATAACAGAATAAACACACAATAACAATAAGAAAACAGCGGTTCAGAAAGCATCTGATCATAGTGATGTGGAGATGTTTGCTCCAGCATCAAATTTATAGGTAAGACAAGTAGTTTGTTTAGGCATGGTTTGTAGGGAAATTACAAACCTGCGCGCACATATTCAAACGAATTTAACTATAGAATCAATTTTTAATGCGCATGTGAACGCCATCAGGTCACAGGTTCGCGTTTAAAGTCTGTTTAGAGAGAACGCCGTCGTCTTAGTGGCCCCTAATGTAATAACAAATGATCATTTTGCTGGAAGTGAATTAATCAAAACTAACTTGGAAATAACATTATTCAAAAATCGCTATAAAGCCAAAACAATCTGTTACCGACCGTAAATTGTATTAAGTTTATCTCTGTAAAGCTGCTTTGAAACAATCTACATTGTTAAAAGCGCTATATGAAGATGACTTGACTTGACTCTGAGATTCAGATCTACAGTCACGTCACGTTTTATTCATGCAGCACTTTATACAATAGATAGATTTAAAGCAGCAGCTTTACAGTATTAAACATGACAAACAGTGTCAGAGTCTCTTTCAGTTCGAATCACAGCTTCAGTTTCTGCTATAAAGCGGCTCTCCAGTGTGTTCGTGCTTTTACTCGCGTCTGAACAGAAGAAATGGAGATTTACAGCTCAAAGAAGGCGGAGCCTCAGAGCCACACCCACCTATTACATCATCACCACACTGACCAATGGGAGTCTGAAGGTGTTCAACCAACCGGAGTGAACTTTTTCCGGAAAGTTCAGAAACGAATTTCGTTTTGGCCTGATTTTGTTCGAAATGAGTATATTGGGGCCCTTAGTATTACTGTCTCAACGTATACATTTGTGTTTTCTTTAAATCAAAGCATTTTACCATCTTTTGTCTTAAACTCTTGTAAGCAAATTGTTATATCACCAAACTTACAGATGTGTGTGTGTGTGTGTGTAGGGGAGATGTGTGAGGATATGGAGGATATGTGCGCTTCTACTCGCAGTCCCTGCAAGCACCAGTCGACCTGCTTCATCACAGTCTCTGGCCCAAAGTAACCACTTCTCTTTTAACCTAGTAGATGAGTAACAGCCTTTTAATCAAAGAGGATCTGTTCTGCTTTTCTCCATGTTCATCTCTCTTTAGTGTGTGATGTTGCTGTTTGATCATGAAAAAGCTTCAGTTATTCTCTATATCAGAGTCAGTGTTTCTGAACTCCTGAAACGCCTCCATTGTAGTCTTGAGTTTCTTCCGGGAACGAACACGTCACAATATTCCTCATTATAATAATTCATACGCAGGATAAAGGGGCGGGGCCTGCTTGAGTTAGTCAGTAGTGTGTTAAACTGGCGGTTATGGAAAGGGGCGGGGCATTTCCCAAACACACTCGAAGCGCTCGACCAATCACAACACACTGCTCCGGCTGACCAATCAGAGCACAGTGTGCTTTTCAGAAGGAGGGGCTTCATAGAGACAGGAAGTAAACAGAGCGTTACTGACAGACTGGGAAGAGAGGAGCCGCAACAATGGAGAATATGAGGAGAATAATCAACATTCAAGCAGGAAAACCTGTTCTAGGAGAGCCTGAAACTACATCACGACTTTGGAAAAGGACACAATAGTTCCTCTTTAACTAAAAAAAATCAAATCTTTTCAAAATGCTCCATAATGTGTGTGTACAGTGGTTTGCTTAGCATGTGCACGTGTGTTTGATTCAGGTGTATATGTGCCCCTGGTTATGTGGGAGACGACTGCAGTGTGAACTATGATGACTGTCAGGACCACAGGTGTCAGAATGGGGCGCAGTGTGTGGACGAGGTCAACGGATACTCCTGTGTGTGTCCCAAGGGCTTCAGGTCAGTTCTACACAACACTATCTGTACATTTTAACATCTGTGGAATGAACCCCACGTCACCAGTGATCCAGAAAGACACTTCATCTTTTGAAAGACTGAAACTAATGTCAGTGTTTTATGTTTGCAAATTTTTTTGCATTTTTCTGACTCGATAAGTGAAGGAGTTGAGGATGTGTTATGGTGTGTGTTGACGTGGATCTGTACACTGGAGTGCCTCACATTTCTCGTGCAACTCCGTGGGATGAAATGCTTTTGTTATGACCTAGAAGAATCCTAGAGCATCAGCTACGGACTTAAAAACTCTGTCTATGATATGGAAAACACTAAACAAAAACCTCTTGTTGTACTTAGTTGAAGATCACCCTGAGATGTTAGAAGCCCTGGATGTTGTTGGGCTGTCCTGGTGTTCACTGAGGTGTTTTGTTGGGAGAACTATGGAAGAATGGATTCCACTTATGCATTTCATCTGGTCCTTATTGAAGGTCTGCCGGAACAGCCGGACTGAGTGGCAGAAACTGAGAAAACGCCAGTAAAACAAACGATTATCAGTTTAAACTAAAGGTTGGACTCGATATAGTGTTCCTTACAACTCACACAGATCCAGCGATCGTGGATATTAACATGCAGCAGGAATCGTGTTTCCTGACATTTATATGAGCCTGATTTCAAAGCCGAGGAAATACATAAAGCAAATTTGCCTGTGAATGCTTTATATAAATATAATATAGGTCTAAATCCATGTGATCACTCATATCAGTGTTATATCATCATATCATCCAATATACCTCAGATATCTTGTCAACTATCTCAATCTCAAAGCTCTTTCCCGTTTTAGATGTGTTTTGTGTGTTTTTCACGGTGAAAACAAATGCTGCCACTTTGGTGTGTAAGCGCAGTCACTCCGGCCGACGGTGACGTCACACTCATAACCTCTACACAACTTGTGCTAAAGGTGTGTCCGCATTCTCTGCAACAAGTCAAGCTTGTTCTCAGCTGGTGTTGGACTCCACCAAGGCTGTCCTTTGTCACCTATGCTGTTTGTGAAATTTATGGACAGGATCTCAAGGCACAGCCGAGGAGTGGAGTGGCATTTGCTAACCGTGACCTTCAATGGCAGTTTGTGGCCAAGTGTGAAGCCATTGAGAGTCTGGACCTCCATATCTGAGGCCATGGTATCATATGATGATACCATGGTATTAAGATGCGTTTTGGTCGAAGTGGATGACGCTTAATCACCAGGGTATAAAACAGGGTATAAAACGTTTTGAGCTTGTCCCCTTTCCACCACTTGCAGAGATAGTGGAAAACACATTCGACCGGATTGCTTTCTTAGTGTAAACGCTCATGTGGTCGAATGTGTTCAAACAGCCACTAAAGATGCCTACTCTCCACCCACTGAACTAATGCGTATTCATTGCGGGACGTGTTATTGGGAAGTGCGCTTGTCAGACGGGATTTAAACTTGACGGAATCAAAGGGACCCGCCCATTGACCCTCCCCTCAACGTAATCAGGACAGAAGCGGTCGAAAGTGGACAAACGAGACGGATTAAAACGCCAGGTGTAAACAGATATGTGTCTCACTCGTCGTCTGTTTGTGATCCAATGGACCAAAACGGATCTTAAAGGGACACTATGCAGCTCTTTTAGCTTAACTGAACAGCTTCAGAGTTATTGAAATGGTTATATAACTTCTTTCGGGTTGAAAAGTGGGCGTCTCGACCCCCCCTGGTGCCTGTGAGCGGAAAAATCTCACTTGCAACTTCGGTGCGGCGGGCCGCCGTGCTCAGTGTCAGGAAGTATCGCGTGATATCAGCTCTCGCGATGTAACATATTCCTTTACGGCACTGCACACATACACACCCCCATCCAGGAACAATGTAGAGAGGGATGGAGTTTGTCACACTATCGTCATGGCTGAGCCGGCATATAAGATGCAGAAAGCTAGGAAAGCATTGTCGGAGGAACAGAGAAAGAGGAAACGGCAGACTGACCGAGCGAGGAGTCGGACACGAGCATAGGCATATTTTGCGGGTGTGTTATGTCCCCATTGAAACATCTCGCAGCACGGATGTACCATTACAAACAAATAAAACATCTCCAGGTAACTCTAGTAGAGCATTCATTTAGTTCGTTTGTTAAATAAGAGTCGATCTGAAATGTGTTATTTTTGAAATCAAGTGATCAAAGTGCTCGTTGCCTCTGCGATCAGTGGTGCAGATAAGTTACAGTGTTCTGTTGTGACGCGCGAACTGTCTTCACCATAGACTGCACATGGACGTGCGCCTGAATCCGTTGCGGGGACTGAGAGACTCTCTATATTTTGTTATGGTGAAATCACAAAACCTAATGCACAAAAAACATGTCCCTGCTTGAAATACAACCACTAATAAACAATCGGTTTTGATGAGGAAAATAAACTATACTACTAGTACGGATTAGAACCCAGAACCTCTGACACACTTGGCAAAAGTTCTGCCACTGGACCATTAAAGTTCATGGGGATAATTGTCGAATCTATGTATTTAATCACGTGAAAATTCTCACCACTAACAACATATATTGTATCTCATTAAACGACAAATTAAACACAATGTACTATTGTATACTATGTAATAGGCCATGTCACGCTCTGTGTGAGTGGTATTTACGACAGTAACGTTAAATTCAAGTACTCCACAGTAACTCTAGGGGTCGCTGTTTGACAAAAACGGGATTCCTGCATAATGCCCCTTTAATACTTCAGTCAGAAAGAGGTAGGTTGTCCTCTTTGCGTAAGAAGTGAGTTCCTTCCGCAAGTGCAGGAGCTTACGCACATATCTCGGGGTCTTGTTCACGAGTAAGGGTCGGTCAGAGCATGAGATTGGTAGGTGGATGAGGGCATTGGCAGCAGTAATGAGGTGATTGCACCAGGCTGTAATGGTGAAGGCCCAGACAGCAACATAAGGTGCTTTCGCAGCGGAGAAACCTTCTCTTAGTTCCTAGAACAATTGGCGGATTTTGGCGAAACTAACTCTACGAACATGGAAAACAGTGATGGGTGGTGAACAGCTGAGCATGTGTGCAAAACTCTCAATTGACCAATGAATCAATGTTCCTGACCCTCACCTATGGTCATGATCTTTGGATAGTGACCGAAAGAGCGAGATTGCGGGTACAAGCAGCTGAATTAAGTCCTCGGTCATGGTTTATGTTACAGTGAGCGTGTACTGGCTGTTTGCAGTGCTGCTGATTATCAGGTAAGATTATTAGGTGATGGCACTGTGGATGTTTTCTGTGCTGCTTCAGGGGTCCACAACTTCTCCCTATAACCACTTGTGGGGTTCCAATGGTGTGTATTGTCATCTTTAAGATATTTAATGGATTGTGTCTCTGCTATTATCTACAAATGTGATTCAGACACTGAGAGAGGAAAGTCCCACATTAATCTGCAAATTGCAGTTTCATGCATGCTTCTAATAGATGCTCACTCCAGCAAACGAACACGCATGACAGAGAAAATCACAATCAAATTTGATCTGAAACATTTTGTGTGCAGTGGACAGCTTTGTGAAGTGCCATCTACTCCGCGTTCTCTCTGCGAGTTGGCCGACTGCCAGAACAACGCCCCCTGTGTGGAGCGGGGCGGGCATCCACTGTGCCAGTGCCTGGCAGGGTTTGGTGGACCACGCTGTGAAAAGTTGGTCAGTGTCAACTTTGTGGACCGAGACTCCTACCTGCTACTGAGTGACCTGAAGAACTGGCCTCAAGCCAACATCACGCTACAGGTATTCAACCAAGCCCGACCATTGAACAAACACTGGATGAAATTTGTCAGTGTTATTGTATAACATTTTTCACATGGCTTCAGGTATACAGAACTAATAAATGCGGCTGTGTATAAGAAGAGGTTTTGTAAGCAGCTGTGCTTAATAACAGGTAACCAGTCTAGTGACAAGGTCCATTTCTTGGCATAGGCAAACTAGGTGGTCGCTGCGGTCAGATTGTTTTTTCTTTATTTTGATGGTCCCTTTAACACATTCTGTTGACTATAAGTAACTTTGCCTACTATCTACTATCTCTCATTGAGTGTTAGTAGAGTATTAGTAGACTGGTAGGGTTAGAATAGGTTGATGTACTTGCAAAGTTACTTCTAGTCAGTATAATGTCTGTTGGAGGAGCATCACAATAAAGAGTTAGCAGATATTAAGCAGACAGTCTAATAATATTTTAATGAGAGTTAGTTGACATTTAGATCCAAAACTACTTATAGTCAACAGAATGTTTAAAAGGGACCATCAAAAATAAAGTGTTACCGTCAGATTTATCTTTTGATGATAGCTTTTTGGTTCTGTCTACAGGTGTCCACAGCAGAAGATAATGGCATTCTTCTGTACAATGGAGACAATGACCACATTGCTGTGGAGCTTGATGAAGGTCATGTTAAAGTCAGCTATGACCCTGGCAGCCAACAAAGTCATGCAATCTACAGGTGAGCTAGAGTTTTTTAAATTCAAATCGAATGTTGGCATGCAGGGACATTATTAATTATGAAGATGTGCACGATATTGATAAATCCATGATAATGCTTTAAAAAATATTATTTGAGAATAAAAGGTAGGATGGAATAAGATGCACCATTTTTTTTTTTTTTTACCATTGATGTCACTAAAAGTAATTTTAAATTTCCACAAATTAAATATGGAATCAATAATCTTTCATGTTTGTTTTACACTCAGTACTGAGACCATCAATGATGGTCAGTTCCACACTGTAGAACTGGTGACCTTTGACCAGATGGTGAACCTTTCCATAGATGGTGGCATCCCAACAACCATGGACAGCTTTGGTAAAGTGCAGCCCTTGAGGGGAGAAGCTCCACTATATGTGGGAGGTAGGAGTGCACCATTGATATCTGTCTCCATCACAGCCATCGTGACTGTACAATACTGTCAATCACCAATGACACCACCTAGACATGACACATGCTCTCCGTTCCATTGCTCTGGATGTTTAGGATGCACAAGTAGAGTGAAACAAAAGCTGAAAAGTTCTAGTCCTGATCGTGGTTGAGTATCCCCAGACACCAACATAGTGTCGGCCCAGATCCGGCCCACATCTGCCACACATGGATTCCACACGTACCAGATGTGGGCTGGATCTGGGCAGACTCTATGTTGCTGTCTGGGGTTCTTCAATCCAGCTTCTGGAGGTCAAGTGTCATGCAGAGTTTAGTTGCAACTCTAATCAAGGTCTTCAGGATTACTAGAAATCTATAGGTACGTGGGTTTGAGCAGGGTTGGAGCTAAACTCTGCTGGACAGCAACCCGCCAGGACCGGATGTGAAGAACCTTGGTATACTGTTAAGGTGATGATACACAGGGCGACTTTTTGATCAATATTGATGGGCAATGTTGCCGTCAACGGGCAACCAGATATGAGACAGGGCCCATGACCGATCTAAATTATCCAGATAGAAATGTATTTTCCATTTTCAATGGGAAAGTGCCCAAGCAACAATCGCTCGACAAGATTGCCCAGCAACATTGCTCAAAAAGTTGCCATGTGTATCATTACCTTTACTCTACTCATATTTGATGGATGAGAGGCCATCCAAGAGTGCTGACCCAGACAGTGGAGTCGGGCCAGATCCGGCCCACATCTGGTAAAATAATAATTAATAATAATTAGTTACATTTATATAGCGTTTTTCTGTGTCCTCGAAGCACTTTATACATGTAAGGGGGGAATCTCCTCAGTCACCACCAGTGTGCAGCTCCACATGGATGATGCGACGGCAGCCATAGTGTGCCAGAATGCCCACCACACACCAGCTTACTGGTGGAGAGGAGATGAAGCCAATCAGTGTATATGGGGATGATTAGGAGGCCATGATGGACAGAGGCCACTGTGCAAATTTGGCCATTTTGGGATTTTTAATGACCACAGAGAGTCAGTACCTCGGTTTAACATCTCATCCGAAGGACGGTGGTCTTTGACAGTATAGTGTCCCCGTCACTATACTGGGGCGTTAGGACCCACACAGACCACATGGTGAGCAGCGCCTCCTACTGGTCTCACTAACACCTCTACCAGCAGCAACCTAGTTTTCCCAGGAGGTCTCCCATCCAGGTACTGACCAGACTCAACCCTGCTTAACTTCAGTGGGCAATCCATGGGTGGAATCCACGTGAACCAGATGTGGGCCGGATCTGGGCCGACACTATGTTTCTGTCTGGGACCCTACCGCACAGCATTAGCCGTAACTAGCATCAGTGTTCTGCTGCATGTGTGTTACTTCTTCCCAACTCTGCTCTTACAGCACTTTCTCTCTCTTAATAAGGCATGCCGGTCAGCGTCCACCCCACAGCTCCTCGTGTATGGCAGATCCAAAACGGCTCCAGTTTCCACGGTTGCATTCAGAACCTTTACATCAATAATGAGCTACAAGACTTCACCAAAACCCAGATGAAACCTGGTGTGGTGCCCGGATGTGAGCCCTGCCGAAAGATATACTGCCTGCACGGCATCTGCCAGCCCAACACTGCGACGGGCCCCGTGTGCCACTGCCAGCCTGGGTGGAGCGGGCAACACTGCGACCAGCCTTCAGCCAACCCCTGCCTGGGCAGCAAGTCAGTCCAATTCTTGAAGTGAAATATGCCGATCGGACTGACACGCAACACGTAATGCTCTAATTCTGTCATTGGCTTTGCACAGGTGTGTCCATGGAAGGTGTATTCCAATGGACATGCAGTCGTACCGTTGTGAATGCCAGGAGGGTTTTCATGGAGCCCTGTGTAACCAGCTGGAAGAACTCTTCAACCCATGCAGAAAACTGCAGTGCAAACACGGTCACTGTCAGATCTCCGACACCGGAGATGCCTACTGTCACTGTGAGGTGGGCTACAGCGGAGAGTTATGCGACAAGGGTAAGAGAACTAATGCACAACGTATGTCAAGTATTCTGTTTCTGATGAGATGACAAAGCATGGGTAGCTAGTAAGCTACCTAAGCTTGCCAAAACTTTGAATTCATTGAACCAATTGCTTCTCAAAACGATTCACTGTTTCAAAGCGCTCGAAACAACACAAACTGGTGAGGCCTGCTGGTTCATGCTATTTTATTAAATTGTTGGGCTTGTTTCATGGAGAGCTTGTTCAATCAGGCCATTAAGAGACTTTTAGCTATTCCTTTTTATTATACAAATGTCATTAACTCTTTCCCTACTAGCGTTTTTTCATTTTTTTAAGTTGCCAGCTAGTGACAGCATTTCTGATTAAAACTTCCATGGCCAGAATAATATTTTGTTGTATGAATATGTAAACAATCAATTAGAGTTGTCAAAAAGTACCGACTTCGGTACTGAAATTTTATGTGACGCTTGAGTGCTGTTGAGCGGATTCATAAACACCTCTCATTACCCTTTACACTCACGCGCATCAGATATGTCTGTGAGATCACATGGCTTACACAGATCCAGACGGTAGCGTGTGAATCAGGTCCGCTGATAGACTCCTGCTTGTGCTTTCAAACACTCCCGCTCCTGTTTTTTTCACTTCCAAGACACTTTCAAACACTTCCGTGTGTTCTCAAACGCACCCGTGCGTTGATCATTGTTGCCAATCACAGACAAATCCGATGAGCGTGTGAAAACAACGGCCAATCAGAGGTGTTTATGATTCCACTCAACAGCGCTCAGAGCGGTTAAACGTTAAAATTTCAGTATCGACTTGGTACCGAAGTCGGTACTCTGACAATTCTACAATCAATATAACAAAAGAAAAAACAAAGCCTCTGCTTTCAGATGGGATTCAAAACAATGATCAAAACACAGATGAAGATCTTTAGAAGATGCGTAACGGCGCCCCCTACCATATAATAGCCAAAACACTCATTGGTGGAACAACGTGTCAACGCGGGGAAGCCTTGCGTCATAAATGAACCAATTTAAAGAGATCTGAAACCCTCAGTGAATTTTGAAACGGTTATGACAAAACTTTGTTTACTGAAATCACATGACTTTAGCAGTTTGATACATGCTCTGAAACAAATGATTTGCAAAGGTTTCGGAAGCTTCACAAAGCAGTGGCGGCCATCACTGTGGATGGATCCTTCAGTTTACAGTTATTAACTCTTTCACTGACGGAAATCTCTGGCTTTCAGTGTTTTTGCTCTTACTGTATATGATAGGGGGCGCTATTACGCATCACAGTCCAGCTTAAGTAAATTCAGTGATGGTTCATTTTTGCTGTAATCAAAAGTTATTTTTGGCACTGCCATCTCAATTAGAGCTAGGTAACCGGTAATACATGACGAAGGATTAAAGCACTTACAACTCAGACATTATCTGGCGTTTAGCCTGCACACTTGCACAAGAGAGCAGCAGCCATTTTATTAATGATTGCAAACCTGTGTATGTTACTCCACCCACATCATGATCACAGTCAATTAGAGAACATATACAATTACATAGCTTAATTACATAACTTAGTTCATTTATATATATATATATATATACAGCCGCTCTGGAGAAAACCGTGATGTCATCGTCCAGCTCAGTTCAGTTCTCATATAATGGTGTCAATGCAGCTGATCAATAATATAGTTGAATATTAAATTAAATGTCCATTTGTATGCTGTTTGTTCTGTTGTAGAGTTCGAGTGCCACGGGGAACACGATTTTCTCAGCTTTTTCTTAAAAAAATTTACGTAAAAAAAAAAAGAAAAGAAAATTCTATTCATATTCATACCAAGTATTATGGGGGCCATGAAACTTTTGTGAAAATTATCAAAAAAGCTAGAGTTAGAAAGTTAGAGTTTAGAGTTAAAAGAGTGTCTCTTGTTTGCTGTTTGTTCTGCTGTAGAGTCCGAGTGCCACGGGGAGCCGGTGCGGGACTTCTACCAGGTCCAGCGGGGTTACTCCATCTGTCAGACCACACGCATGGTGTCGTGGGTGGAGTGCAGTGGCGTCTGCGAGTCCGGCTCCTGCTGCGCCAGCCAACGCATGAAGAGGAGAACACACACCTTCGAGTGCAGCGACGGCTCGTCCTTCAGCGAGGAGGTGGAGAAGACCGTCAAGTGTGGCTGCGCGGGGTGCATGTAGAGCCACAACACCACAACACCACAGAAAGAGCCATCACAACAACACAACAACAGAAAAATATAGACATACCCCCGCCCCACCCCACACAACCTTTATATTCCCACCACAACCTGACATTTCCACCCGTAAAAGGGTCAAATAACACCAACTCTGCTGACAGAAGGGCAAGCAGAGGCTTGTTTCAGGCCTAAAGCAGAACATTAGTCATGTATTAGAAGAAAACGATGACTCTCTCTGCAGTGCTGGACGTGTATTTGAGCAGATTACGCTCCAAAATGGTGATGAAAGGAACATGCACTACATGTATGATATACCTGTGTGGGAAAATACATCCTCAGCGACATGCTGGTAAGATAGAGCATGTGAATCACAAGTACGGCGGGAGATTTTGCATGGAACCACATGCTGTCAAACCAGATATTTCCAATGGTTTTGTGTGTTATGGGACTCTTCCATTCATTAATAAACGACATGGGGGCCGAAACCACCCAGAAGCCTTCCATCTGAACATGAAGAGACACCCCTGGTGCCATAACGTAGAGTTACCCTTCGGGAGCTTCTTTATAATATTTCGACTTTCAATAGATCGAGGAGCGAGTCAGAAAGAAGGATCTATTCCATAGTGTTTTGTCATTCCATTACCTCAAACAGAGCCTTGACCGAATGTAAGGGAGAGCTGAAATCAAGCGCTAGATAGATCTCATCACGCCATTTTCTAAGATGCATGCTCATTGTCATGTGATGTCTGGATTGTGGTTAATATTAGCACTGCCGAGCAGAAAATAGACCATCGCTTATCGAAACCCTGCCGACTACGCCATGCCACTGCAGTTTAATATGGGTCAGTGTTGGAGCTGTTTGAGGGGTACAATATGACTATGGGTTATGACCACAACACTGTACACACCGAATCCCATCCGCTGACGCAGCCGTAACGACTCCTACAGTATTACCTCGGCAAGCTTCTGCGTTCACCAAGGTTTGCAAATCGCCATGAACATCGTCCTAGAATTAAAAACGCGAATAAGTGCAGTTTGGCTTACTTCATTTAATTTCGGTGGGTGTTTGTTTTCGCTTTGATTTCCTTTTCCCAACTTCCCTAGACCTTCACTTTATACAGAAATGCTTAACAGATTCTAATATATATTTGTATTTCATTTTGGTATAGTATTTTTATATGTTAAAGAATAAATTTGTTTTCAGGATTTTATTATCAAAACAGCAGTGTGAAATTTGGTGACTTTTTGGTGTTTTATTCAGTCATTTATTTCACTTGCTTATACAGGCCACAGTGGTTTGAAACTGGCCACAAGCATAGATAATAATTAGCCTATTAGCCTTATTGTAATATGAGCCAGTGTTGATTGTTTCGGAAGGTTTTTTCTTTCTTTTATATTGTAAATGTTGTCTTCCATGTGAATACCACATTTAATTCATTTAAAATATCTTTGTGCTTGATTTTTGTAATTATTTATTTTAAGACCTGTCCAGATAGAAAGCTGATTTTGAGTTGTGAATACAGCCAAGAGGAAAAAGAGGTTATTAAGGCATTTTTAATAGTGTAATTACCATCCAGTACTCATAATAAAGAGCAAGTCAACAGCCCCGATTGCTCAGAGAAATGCAGTCATATTTTAGTTAACTCTTCTTTAGTGAAGTGGCACTATTTGAGAAGTAATTCAATTCTCCATACATTCATTGAACCACATGGTTGATGTTTCCATAACGCAAACATTAACCGGTTTTCCTACTCTACGGTGGATACTTATTGCTCTTATTGTACATTGAGGTACTGGGAATGAAAGCTGATGAATGTCATCGCTAAAGATGTGATCGCTTCAGTGCACACAAATCATTGGAAAGGGTTTCCGACTTTTCCTGTAGATGTCATGGTCTGAGCTTAACCTTGTGCCAATCACAACCATTGCATCATGAACTCCAGAAACTTTGTGAAAGATACTGTCGCTGTTGCATATAGAACATTTAAGAGCTCTTGCTGTTTATTCTTCTGATGTTACGTTGATAGTTACATTGACTAACTGCAGTTACTCCGAATGTAAGTAGCGCCACCAAAATGTTTACTGAACTTCCTTTTTCATTCATTAAAATGTGTGATTATATCAGTGTCTATGTCTGCTTTATCACAACCACAACCAGAGCTTCAAGCAGCAAAATATCTGGTTCCTGGCACGTGTAAATCAAAGCAAACATGAGGATCTGCTTGTCATTCGTATTTCGAGAAAGGAGGAAAACAAACCTTGAGAAGGAAAACTGAATTATTAATGATTCACTATACATAAACGTAGGTCATGTGTTTAGCAAATTGCTTTTTCTGGATGAAATTACACGGTTGAGAACCAATTTCACTGCACATTCCTTACTTTACTCATCACTTATTTACTTTGGGGGACAAAAAAAAAAAAACATCCCAACAAAATGCATGATAAATTGACCAAAGACAGAATACATACATCTCAAAGCCAGTTCATTTACATTTTTATCATTTTTTCCTCATGAGATCAAAAACCATATAAATGGGGTCTTCAAGCCTGGTATATGTAAACTACATTTTACATTTACTTTTTTGACTTTTAAGCAATGTTAAAAAATAAAATAAAACAATGAAATTACAAAACAGAGTAAACTCAAATAAAAATCTCATGATTCTTCATCAAACTAAATGTCTAAAGTAACAAAGCAGAAAGATATTTTAGAAATCCTGTAATCTTGCATAGTTTCCTTTTTTAGCATCATAAATACAGCGGTTTTAGAACAATCGAGACCATAATGCATAAATTACTCTCATCTATAGAAAATCTACGTGAGAAACAACAGTGATACGCACAAGTTTCTATGCATAAATCATCATCATCATCATCATCATACTAACTAAACGGACAAAATGAGGGAGGTACGGCACTGGTAGACTATGAAAATACAACATATTTAAACTTCAGTGCTCTAAAAGAGAAATTACTAATTATGAATACAAGAAAAAAAAGCCATGATCTTAAAGAATTTTTGGACAAATTTCCCATATCTATGTGCAAAAAGAATGAGGCTTTATTTCATGAGGCAAACTCAATTATTTATAAATACAGATAAGAAAAAGGCACATTATTCAGGTTACAAAGCCACTTTAATTCACTACAAGTATTAATGGTTTTAGAATTGTGGATCACTCCTTAAATAATATCTGGTTCAATATTACAAGTTGTTGTAATAATAAGCTATACAATGTAACGGTCAAAGAGTTATTCATAACTCATATTTAAAATGCCCCAGTAAAGAGAATCGGAACCTTTATTTATTGACTTTTTTTACATTAATGGCTCCGTCAAGGGGAATTTTTTTTAATTTTTCTAAAACAAATAGATTTCTTAAAGCATATTTGGAAAGGTTTGACACTGTTAGGTAGAGCAGTCAAAAGTTCCTTCTTTTCAAAGACAAATCTCTCTCAATATATTCAAAACTCTGAAAAAATGTACTGCCAAGCTTCAAAAATAGTTTCAAAAATAAATGTCCTTCCAAAAAAGGAACATTTTGAAAAGCATCAGCACCCCTTGTTCTTGAGAAACACTTCTGCACGAGCTCACTAGACCTGCACACACTCCTCAGGGTTTTGAGGTCCGTGTGCGTTTAGTTGGAGTGACCAGTGGTTCCAAGCCTCGCTTCGTGGAGGCTTTAGGAGAGCCCGTCTGCGCAGAGGAGACCTCCATCTTTCTTTGAGACCTAGTTAACACTTGGTCTTCCAATGCCAGAGGCTTAATGTCCACATCTAAAGAATGTGGTTCAGAACTATTAGGGCCTTTTTGGAGCACCGATTTCTTTATGTCAGCTTTAGTCCCACTTGTTTTCATTTGCTGTGCCTTATCAGTCCCAGATTTGAGCAGCATCTGTTTTTTACTCGAGGCGTTAGTCGAGACATGCTCACCAATGGCTTTCGTCACTTTTTTGAGTGCCTGCAACCTCTTTGCAGAGGCACCGTGTTTGTGACATTGGTTCTTTTTCAAAGCCTGTTCTTTGAGGGCAGAGTTTGCTTTCGCCTTCTTGGTGAGCGATTTGATCCTTTGGACAACCACAGACTTCGGTCCTTTACGCGTCTGTAATTTCTGTTTGCCGACTTTCTTTGGAATTAATGCCGCCTTCAAACGAGCCCCTTTGAAGGCTTTCTCTTTGCATTTCTTATTTTGCTGAACCTGAAGTTTCTCACGCATGTTAGAGTATTTCCTAAGGATTCGAGCACTTGCTGGGTTCTTCGCAACGCCTGCGATCGCACCGAGGCTCTCCGGAGCCAGTGCCGGTGCCACTCCATTAAGACTCTGTGCCTTTGTAGAGATCCGCGTGGCAGTTGTCGGTTCGTGCTTCTCTTTACTCTTCATTACGGAGATACCCTGACCTAACGCTTTTGAGATTAGCCTTTGATTCTTGGGGTTACTCTTCACCGGTGACGCCATAGCAAACTTCTTCAGATGCTTCTTTAACCGTTCGGCCTGGAGGCTCGGAAATATGTCTTGAGACGACCCTGCTCCTGCTGATGAAGAGTGAAAGCACAATTGTGTTTCTGACGGAAGTCTGGTGTTCACCTTCTTAACAATTACAAGGGATTTTGTTTCGGTTGATTGCAGGAACCACCTGCAGATACTGGGCAAGTCAAAGGGCTTCATGAAAAGCATTTGCACAGGGGAAAACTTCTGTGGTTCCAATGGTCTTGACTTTCGTGCCCTGCGTTTGCTTTTCCAGATTTCCTTGAGTCTATCTGCCTTGTTTTTGGGTTTCGGTGCAGGCTGACCCTCCTTGTCCATTTGTACCCAACCTTTGTGCATTTTATCAAACGTTGTATTTAAATTTGAAATTAACTGCTGGTGTTCTTCTCCCCTTAGCGCCTCAAAAAATTTGGAGGGACTACAAACCACTGGTTCAGTTCTCTGAACGCCAGTTATGCATAAGGACTCACCTGGGAGATTCAAAGGGCCTCTTATTTGGGGCTCCATATGCTTCCGGGTTTGGATTTTAGGTTTTGAGCTCAATGGGCTCTCTTCAGCTTCCCCACTTGAGGATGCTGAAACCCGTTGAGGTCTCAAAGAACGCTTATTTTTACTAGGGGGTGTTGTTGAGCCAACCGACTTTTCAGTATTAGACGCATTCCCTCTTCTCAACGACATGCGCCCTGGGCTCTCTAGTGCATCTACGATAGCGGATTTGTTATGGGGGGGTTCTGCAATTAAACTGGCACTACTTCTTAAGGGCATGTGCGCATTGGCCTCTGTTTTTCTACAGGTAGTACTGGATTGTGAACTGATAGGTTGTTCACTGACGCAACTTTTGATGGAACTTTTAACAGGAGATTCTTTAGTAACAGTCTGTTTAGTTGTGCTAATAGTCCTGCTTCGTAGGGGCATGCGTGTTACCCCCTCGGAAGACGTACACGAATCTTTATTCGTTGCCTGCTCACTAGCAGAGCTGCTGCTCCTTAAAGGCATCTGCCCTTGCTTTTCTGAAAGGCCTTCTGTTGGATTACCGGATTTGCTACCAAAAGTCCGTTCAGTGTTACTTCTGCTTCTCAAAAGCATATTTTCAGAGCTTGGTGGGGACTTTTTAATGGGTGAACAATCTCCACTATCTGACAGTTTAATAGGACTACTTTCAGTTTTAATTGGCATATTTTCAGAGCTTTCAGAAGCTTGATTATTCAGTTTGTGGTGTTTCCCACTCTCTGTGGAGGTGGAGGGGGTGCTAACAGTTTCTGGAAGAACCTCAGGTGACAACACACTTGGCAACTCCTCGTTCATTTTGACGCTTGGACTAGTTTGTTCATCTCTTTCTTTTGCATTTCTTAATTTTGGTCTTGTTTTGACTGCATGATCCACAACCAGACTGCTACAAGGTTTTGAGGCTGGGAGCTCCTGTGCAGTTTCAAGAATGTCTAGAGCTTTCAAATCACGCTCTTCCTCAATATGCACATTTGTTTCAGTAGATTGAGTCTTTGGGCTTGTATCATTGGCACGCTCAAGTTCAGATGTAACACACTTTACAGAGTCTTTCACTATGTCAACGCTGCCTTTTGAAACTCTACTACGCAAGCATCTGTCTGAGGACACTGTTTGTTTTGCATTCACAACCTTTGGACTATGCGGATCCGTATCCTTCTCCTTGCATTTTAAAAGTGGTTGTACAGTAGAGACTTCAGTTAGGCTGGACACCGCTGAATCCCCTGGATCCGTCGCTGGTAGTTCGGAAGAGTTCGTCGTTTGGAGATTACTTTCAGTGTCGTGCGAAACTTGCTCTTGAGAACTTTTATCCTCCTCAGTGTTTGCCTTTATTTCTGAGGTCTCAGATTGTTTGTGGACATCTGCTGCAGTCTCGACTTCTGTGGGATTTGTCATGTCGCTCTCATTTCTCGGTTCCACGTCGACTCCATCAGATGACTCTATGGCCATGTTAGGGGATACAGGCATCAGTGATGGCTCCAAAGATTTATCCTCACACTCAGCCTTACTTTCTGTACCACATTCCCCCTCTTCCAGCATGGGTCCAATTTGGGACTCACATCCTTCTTTCTGTACAGCGAGTTCTGTTGTTTCAGTGGTTTCTTTGATTTCTACCATGCACATGTCTCCTTGCACTTCTGAATTAGGATTAACGAGAGCTTCAGTGATCAAATCTGGTTGCATGGTTAATTCACTCAGTTTACAAGATGGTTCATGGGAAATTTGCCCATTACTTTCAACTTTACCGGTCTGACTGGTTTCAACCACCAGACCGAGACCAGTTACTTTGACAACATCTCCTGGCATTTCATTCTCCGCTATCTGCTCCGATGCGAATTTCTGAATAACATTTTCCATGCAGTCCCCTGCAAAAGGTGCATTTATGAGAGGAACACTGCCAGACATAGAAAGGGCCTGCTTTGGAGCAACTGAGGTGTGCATATCTGGCATATGAGCTGGACAATTCCCACTGGAACTACCTATAGATTTACGAGCTAGCGTACGGACAGTTTTTAGTTCCAAGTACTCCTCAACGTACTTGTGCCCTCTTGTGCTCTTCCGAGCATTTTGTCGTGGATGCAGTCGGTAACGAGATTGAAGCTGACATTCTGTTATTGATTTTCTAATAT